TTCAAACCACCGGGCTTAGCAAACTATCCAAACTACATGGCCAAATCAAGACAGAAATACTTCCATTTGTCATCAATATTTACTTGAAGTGCAGTAGATGTACTCAAAACGTTTATATCAATAATCACTTGTTCCTATCAGTAAATTTTAATATTTGTCTCCACATTACAGTTGCTAAATCTGTAATGAGGAAATATCCAACAAAGAATTCAATGTTCCCATAATCTGTCCGTTACATAACATGTAGTTCTGAAACCTATTTGAAATATTTCAAGGTGATTTTGCAAAACCCTTTCAGTTGCACTATAATTAGCTGCATTAATACAATATTTTAATGAATGTATCCATGGGTGCTGTGTAAAGAACAAGTCACCACCCAAACAACTGCACTTGGCTGCTTTACTTATTCTATTTTCAAACTCTGTCAGTTTAGACTTGCATGTCAAGTCATTCATGATTATCTCGTGAATAATAGTCAAGACATTAGAGGTTTGATGACAAAACTCACCTCTAACACTCTCTGGTACAGCTGGTCTTGGGTCAGCTGCCTAACTGGCTGGGATGCAGCAACAGGAAGATTGCCAGGAACGTAATGGGTTGATGACGATGAGCTAGAGGCCAAAAACGATGGGCCAAGAAAGTTCATCGCTGGCTGGGAGGCAGATGCACTGGGTGAGACGTAATCCCACTGGAGTGCAGGTCCTAGAGTTGCTGGGTTACTACTACTCCTCTCCTTGAGTGAATCTGGTGTCTGCGGCGTTGAAGGTCGACTGTCTGCTTTGAGCCTTGTTGTTGCACCCGCTATAGGTTGACTTTCAGGGAGGTGAATCTTATGGAAAACCGTTTTCCCCTTCACAACTAGATCCTCTTTCAGAGATTCAACGAGATCTGACACCGTTTTGAAGCCCATAGACGATATGATCAATTCATGATGGTGTACCTGCTTGTATACTTTTGTCAAGTTCTTCAGGCAAATCCCCACACGGTGTTCCTTTATCAAGTCAACAACGTTTTGCAGAATCTCTGTAGTCGTTTTCCTTTTTGCTTGAGCTTCACCAGCGTCTTGGTTTTGATGCCGATGTTCTTTGTGAAACACCACATCACCCTCCACCACCAGGTCTTCTAGAGTGGAAACCATGCTCAAAATGGAGGTAAAGTTTAAGTCGCGTACAGCCAGGTTAGTGTGGTATTTCTGGTTGTAGAGACTGGACAATCTATTCAGTGGTATCCCATTCTTGTGACGGTACGCCAAAGCAACAACATTTTTCAAAACATCCTCCATCTTGCTGCAAAGAGAAAAAGATACCTTCATCAGTGAATTAATACGTAACAGTTTTCCAGAAATTTAAGAAATCACACTTGAAAATTATTGAACGAAGAGATAAAAAGGTCTTTTGTTGTTGTTGGAATTAACTTCTGGAATGAACTTACAAAAGTATAGTTCATTATGGGTTTTTAAAATATTGATTAGAAAGAAAATATTTGATGATGAAGAATAAATGACTTAATTTCTTTTGTATCTGATTTGGTTTTGGTGTTTTCTGTCCTTTTGGGTTTTTTTTGTGTGTTTCTGTGACGTTTTGGGATATTTTTTATATATATTTATGAAGGGGTATTTTAGCCTAATTTACATTGAGCTTCTGCCTGTACCTTTTCAGTCATGTAACAAATGACTTGATCACTGATTAAGATATTACTCAATATTGATACTGGCTAATATGAATGTTACTCTTATAAAGCCATCACCAAAAAGACCCAACAGCACTTTGTGTACATTAAGATTAAGAAATAACACCTGATTTTTTAGTGCTATAATTTTGATATATTTCCATTTGACTGTAATGCGAAATTAAGGTTAACTTTTAAAAAAAAAAAAAAAAAAAAAAAAGCTAATCAAGCACAAATCATCCACGCTGCACAAAGTGTAATTCCAGATTGAGGAAATTATTTTGAAATTTGCCATTTCCAAACTAATGCCATTTTTCATTAAAAAAAAAAGCGTGTAAAAACTTAACAAAACTGTTATTGACCAATTAAAATCTTTTAAAAACTTCAGATGTCAGGTACAACACAAGATTATCATACATTCATATTTAAAATGATACATAACTGAGCACGCCCATTAATTAAACGTGGTTAAATAGAAGTGAGAACGATTGTTTAAAATGACTAAATACTTGTGCAATTAAATTCATCGATGACAATATTACATAAAAAAATAACATTAAGGGTAATGTCAAAACAAGATTATTTAATCTACTGTACAATGCATCTACATTAAAACTTCATTACATGAATACAATAACAGGATGTTAATAGATTATCATCTCAGCAGAGTTATGTCTCGTTTTCTCGTAAAAGAACCCAGTGATGTTGGCAAAGAGGTTTATTAAACCAGCCTATCTAGTTTTGCAGATGGAAACCCTGATCTGAAGACAGACAGAATGAAACCTCTGAGACGGCAAAACAACAACAACAGTCACCAAGGAGCAACAAATAAGAAAAGGAGGACAAGCGTACTTTAACTTTACCACTAGCGTCTTTGTTGCTGTGCATTCAAGTCTGGTTTAATAGGTGTAAACACCTATTAAACTTTTAGCAAAAGGATATGTCAGGGAAAGACAGAAGAGGAATTTAAAGCATAATTGGGTGTGACTGAATCACACCCAATCCGCTGTAATCAGTGTGCAAACAAAGGGAAATCTTTCAGCTTAGATTTACTGTAATTATGCATCAGTTAGCTCAATTATTAAAAATAATTAATAGAAAAAAAACACAAAATGTCAACGCCCAGCAGCTTCAACCTTTGTATTAAGATAAAATACTCAAAGTCCAAAATACATGACCATTTAACCAAGCATTTAACAAAAAATAGAACAGTAACCATACTGGTGCAGCTTTAACAAAAAAAAAACAACGAGTTTATGGTGTGATATAAAAGATATAGGTATATAATTCTCACCTTTTCCTTTACCACAAACCACAGATTCTCTTTAACTTCTTCACCAAGCTCCAACAATGACCACCAAGCTTCCTCTTTGTGCTTATATAGCCCCCGCACCTTCCCTGCCTCCCTCCGTGCCTCAGGAGCTCGTGGAGAAACGAAAGTGAAACTAGAAGCGTTGTTTCATTTCTCCGGAAGAGAGCCCCGCCCTCACAGGACACAGACAGCGTCCTGACCTGTGCGTCTCACCGTCCGGCTGAGACACGACCTCGCCTGAATGTTTCACTTTCCTTTCACCAAAACAAGCATCAGCGAGGAACACATGCCAGGAATAACAAGTTAGCCTGTGCAGGCAACGGAAGACAACAGAAGAAGTGACGAAGCAACAGCGAAAGCTAAACAAACACAAGCGGTGACGTCACATCGAGGGCTTTAAGTTTCACCTTCCCGCTCGCGCCGCCTGACTCACTGCAGCTGTTCAGTGATGCACCACGTGACCTTGTTTCAGCCGCTTAGCTAAAGGAAGGGCAACAGGGTTCAGCACAGAAGCAGCTACGGTTCCCCACTGGCTGAAAGATAGCAAAGCTGTAAAAATATATATACTTTTTTTTTTTAAAAAAGCCCAAATTCTAATGAGGAAGGAGAATGTCAACTTGAAGGATAAAGATGTGAGATAAAATCATAGAGACAAAACATGCAGACTGTAAAGCAGAACAAAGACTCTTCAGGCCCCTTTACAACCCAGAGCTCGTGATTTAAATTATTTTATGCATCCACTGAAAATAGAACTGCGAATAGGTTGTGAACATCTATATACGGCTAATTGAGAGAGTTTTGAATTTATTTATTTTTCATATTTACTTGTAAAGAAGAAGGAAAAAATAATAATGATTTTTATACTGTGCTTAAGGGAATCATGTCTTTGGTTTATGGCAAGCTTTGACAATAAATCTCATTATAGTTGGCTATTACCTAATGAGTCATCTGAAAGTTAACTCATTAGGTAATAGCTACTGTTTCATGACAAACTGAAACCCAGAAGGTTTCAGCTTGTAATGAAGGCTCTTAGAAACAGGACAGATTATTTGGACATGTAACCTTGAAGTCCAGTGAGGTCACTGATGATGTCATCAATGACAAAGAAATTCTCAAGTAGGAATCTCAGTGCTTCAGTCAGGATTAAGACAGCTTTCAGCGAAGAAGATTTGCGAAGAATTTGTGAAGATGTCTAGTTTGAACGCACTCGTACCTTTGTTTATCCCACTGGGTTGGGGGTTGGGATACGCCGTTACCACCGGCATGAAAAAGTTATTAGATTATTGCCTTCCTGAGGAGGACGAAGGAGGTTGTCAGGACTTGCCGGATTCTAAGGACTCGCAGGATTTTGAGGATTTTCAGGAGGAACAAACCAACCCGGCTGTGGAGGTTTGTTCCAAACCAGCGGACATCTTAGGGACTGTAGAATTAGACCCAATCGTGACCCTACCAGAGAGTACCGCAGACAACGGTACTGTCTCCAGACAAACTGACCCGGCTGGGCAGGAGTGTCACGAACCGACGGCTCCGTGTGCGGTTTGTGAGACAGCAGACGGAGACCTGACGACAGGAACAGTACCGAGTTTGACGTACTAAGTTTGAGCAAACCAACCCGGCTGGGGAGGTTTGCTCAAAGTTGACGGAATATCTTGCGTGCCAGAGACGAGCCGCAGAAGCATCTGCCCCGGCTGGGGAAGATGTATCTGCGGCCGACCTTGCAGCCAAGGCTTTTGCTGAATTCACAGCAGAAGCCTTGGCTTCAGTGGTCCCAGCTCTTAGTTCATCAACGAGGTCTCTGAAAGGCACCATTACCAGTGCCTTTGAGGTACCAAGTTCCCCAGCTGGGGAACTTGGTACCTCAAAGGCAAAAAAGAGGTCTTTAAATGGTAGGGTCACGATTTCTTTCGAAATTAACTGTTTACCGGAGGATCATAATTCGGAAGAGAGGGTCGGCTTAGACATGACAGATGGAGGGAAGACAGAGGCTGCAGGATCCAGACAAGTGGGCATGGAACGCTACTGTCAGTTCTCCAATGAACTGAACAGTAGCTGGATGAATGCCGCTTTCCAGAGCCTCCTGAACCTGGGTGTCACCGGACGGTGTCTTGCCCGGGAACGGGTGTTTCTGGAGGCTTCATCCATTCCGTGCTGTGCAAGTCTGATTCTTGCAGCCGTCCGCCATCCGGGCAGACATTTTACAGCAACAGACCTCTCCCCAGCTCTGGTAGAGCTGATGGAGAGAAATCTGTTTTTGGACATGTGTAGGGATTACGCTGTAAAATGTTTGCTGGAGTCCTTGTTAATATGGTTGGACTCACTTGGCGGCGAGACAGACAGAGACTTGTACTGCTCCAACAATTGCTCTGTCTGTCAAACCAGCTGCCTGGAGCTCCTGAGCGATGGCCCCATGGTTGCCCTGCCAGCGGCAACTTTTCCAACTGATTTAGTTACTCTTTTTGACGATTGGTTGGCATTGGGAGGCAGGCGCCGTTGCTCAGGCTGCAACGCTGCCTTGGAGAAGAAGTACCAGTTGGCGGGTAACAACGTTCTGGTGTTTTTTCTCCCGAGGCGGACCAGGATCCATCCAGTGACGGCCAACCAGACTATGGATGTGCCCGCACAGTCTGCCTGCGGGACGGAGCGGTTCTGTCTGTCCTCTGTGATCTGTCAGGGTCCATTGTCGACCCAGTTTTATACGTATTTGATGGGAGAACATAAAATTCTGAAGGCAGAAAATGATCATGTCTTCTCTGCAGATGACCTCTGCAGTGAAGACATGAATCAAACGGGAGTTTTGTACGTATACGAAAAGGTAAGGAGACATCAGTTAGTCACTGATGTCTCAAGTTCTCCAGCCCCTCCTCTCCAAGGCGACCAAGGCGCGTTTGGAGAGGAGCCAAACTTAACTGATTTGGATTATGAGGAAATTCCAAAAGATGCAATTAGTGACCATTTGGAGGCTGGAGAAATCTGACCGGGTCTTATCTAAATTTATGAACTAAAAAGATTAGACAGGTTTCCTGTTTGCAGGTTTCTCTCCGGGCGCTCCGGCTTCCTGCCACAGTCTGACATTACGACTGTTAGTTAATTTGGCTCTAAATTCTGCCTAGTGTGATTAAAACATTTATTTTCTGCCTTCATGGTTTGCATGTTCTCCAATCAGTGGATTCTCTCCGGTTCGGTCCCAAAAGATGACCGTTGGTTTACTTGGCTTTTCTAGTTGACCTTTTCCCCAAGTCTTCTCCCCTCTCGTTTGCTTAAAGTAGTTTTGGCCACTAGGATTTTGACTTAAATCAAACTCCTCTTTCAAATGTGTGCCAAGTTTCATAATTCTTGGATAAATCGTGGCTTGTGGATGATTTTTAAGGATATTCTTGGGTGTGTTGTGGAGGAATTGGGCCACACACACCAAATATTGGACCACATTCCTGTCAGGGAGAGGACAAGGATCGATTTCAGTGAGCTTGGTGCAGCGCGTTCGAAACATGAGTGATAGGTTTAAATTAATAACTTGCATTAACACTAATCATTGTCCTTATGTACAGTTAGACTGTTTAGTTGTAATGCTGTATTGTCTGACCCTCAAATTCCATCTGTAGTGCAAAGTTGCAGCATCTTGCACTCACTCAGTTTTAGTTTCTTCCAGAAATCATTAAGACTAATACTTAGCCGCTTATGAACTATAGAATCAGTCTTCAGCATGTTTTTATTCTTGCTGGTAAAATGCATAGCATATAGTATATTGTGCATAAGTGGCCTTCTTATGCCATGCAGCCTCACAGGCTTCTGTGTGACAGTCTGCAATGTACATTACCAAGTTACTATAGTTACTGACATACGGATAAATAGTGCAAAATATTATCAAACTCATAAGGGATAAAATAAAGCTCTATTTTCAATCGTCCTCTCTTGCAGTTTGAAAGCTGGGAAATGACTGAAATGTGTAACTTATAAATAATGGAGTAGATGACAGATAACTTTCTGATCAAACGTGGCTAACTGAGCAAATACTGAAGGTATTTTTCTACCTGCTGTTACTGCAGCAGCGTCCATGAGTTGGTGCTGTTTAGTCTGCTTGCATGTCTTTGTTTATGTCTCACATAAGCCTGAAAGCAGCCGATCCATCTTGGCTAGCACGTCTAAAACATGCTAACATTAGCAACAGATCACTAAGGTTCTCAACAGTAACAAGCCACTATTTACGTCGGCTGCTTGTTTAAACGTATTAATAAGCAGTCACCTCACCGCTACTTTGAAAACGAAACACTGTTTCACTTATTATTCGCCATTTTTACTCGCTTGAACGCTAGCATGCGAGCAAACTGAAGCTAGCATCATGGTGCGTTCACGTTGTACTACTAACTCGGAAATACAACATCTCCGCTGAAAAACGCAGAAAAGAAATTCTCATTGCGCTCAGTGTAATTATATATATGTGTGTAACTGCTTTTAAACTGTTTCTTTTCTTATATTAGATTTAAAACGGCGTCAACAGCGGGTTGAGACAGGTTGTAAATAAGAGTTGCTTTTTTTCCCCGCACGACATGAACCTAGCATGATGTGAGTGTGTTTTTTTCCGCTTTGAACTTTATCACAGAAAAATCAAAAAGAGCAATTCCTACGAAAATATACTGCTTAAAAATAAAAAAATATAGGGATCACTCAAACAACACAATATAACTCCAAGTAAATCAAACTTCTGTGAAATCAAACTGTCCACTTAGGAAACAACACAGATTGACAATCAATTTCACCTGCTATTGTGCAAATGGAATAGACAACAGGACAAAGTATTCAATGGGAACATTTCATTCATTCAGATCTAGGATGTGTTATTTGAGTGTTCCCTTTATTTTTTTGAACAGTGTAATTCAGGACCGGAAGTGTTTTGAAAATTTATGAAAAAGTGATGCAGGACAACAAGAAAGCCATGTAACGCAAAATGAAGCAATGAAAGAGAAGGAACAATAAAATCTATTCAATAAAAATAACCAGTAGTGAGGGGTCTTACTTTTATCACTATCTGGGCACAAGTCGAGTACTAAACGAGACATACAGATGTCAAATATAAAGGAATAACTTCATATTTTCTTCAAAACGAAGAAAATTCTTTCTCAGGGAAGATGGGAAGGTCTTTTCATATTACTTATTTATATAAAAATTTACTATATCAATCCTTGGTTGTAAAAAAGTGATCTGGGTGAACAGTGACCCTCGAGTTATTTTAATCAGAGCCTGAGGCCGTAGTGAGGGAGAAGATAACTTTATTTACAGCATTAAATTCTGTAGTCGTGCAGGTTTGTAATTTTCCAAAGTCTAGTATTTTGCCTTAGTGGGGCCTATTTAGGCTCTGATGTTTATGATAATCATATTAACAAAATATTTGCTTATATATTTGGCAGAGCAATAATGAAAATGGTTATGGTATTATTATTAATTATTATTATTATTATGTAAAGTATATTGCATTAAGCTGATATGATCAAGTCGTGATGTTGTAATGCCAGAACTTGACCAACAGAGGTCAGTATAACATCAGTGAGTTGCAGTTCACATTCTTTTTTGTTTATGCTTTATTTTTATTTTTTTTTAGTAATTTTTTACTGACTGCCTACATCAGAAACCAGGCCCATAATCATGTGCATTTGCTCTCATTCTGTAAACAACAACTTCAGGCTCCATTTAAAATTCCCAGTGAAAGTCAATGTGAGAGATACTGTTGCCCAAAAAACACGTGCAATGTAAGTTTTTCCGTGATTGTTATTTTCCAATGGAGGGATGCCTGGCTGTTTTCCCACAGAGCAGCATCAATATGTTGTTATTAGCTTCAGCACTGCTATTAGCTTCTACAAGCAGAGTCATAAAAAGAGCGAAAGCCACAAGTTTAAACTCGCCCCATCCCCATTTCCACTAGGTACGGCTGTGTTCCAGAGCACACCCTTACATGCATGTGGCTGATGTCAAACGAAAGGCCAAAAGAGATGGGGACGCACTGATATAATCATGCAAAAACACACACCACTTCGATTAGCATCACATTGTAGAGGTCAAAGTACTTCTTGTTTCCTTTGAACCTGTTTCAAGAGCATTACATAAGAACTGTTTTAATCTAAAGGCCAAAGAAACAAACGGGAAGATCATTTTTTGGGGTAGGGGGTTAAAATTAATTCATTTGAGATTAGCTTGAAAAAGAAAAAAGATCATTACAACCTTCATATTTTGTTACATTTTCAGGTAGTTGTGAAAGGCTGCTGGTCTTATTTCTTTCTTATTTTACCATCTTTCACCTGTGCAAGCATGAGTTAAGCTCCAACTTCCTATGACAATAGAAAAAGTCACCAGAACAATAAACTGTGCAATATTTAGTTAGGGTTAACAGATTAGCGGTTAGCCCCACAATTATCAAACCCAACTGGTTTTCCAACGTGCAGCTGTGATGCTTTCGATTTCTCCCACAAGCTGCAAAGTTAAAACCTGGGAATGATGTCCAATCTTGAGTTGCTAACAGTTTCGCTACAAGAGAGAAAACTGGTCTTCCAACCCGTATTTACAATAAAAGTGATTATATACTTTCAGATGCAAATAAAGGTCGTCATTGTTCTGGGTATGCCTCGGTTTTGATGCTACATTATTAATGTAACTGGACAGAAACCGCTGTACAGTATGTTTAAGTGGATACATCAAATATATCCAATAGACAGAAGAAACATAGCGCTTCCACCAACTTTGTCTACCATTTATATCTGCGCCATATTGTTTCATTGTCAGTCTGAAAAAGTAGATAATGCCAGGGCCATCAATTCTCAATCAATGGTTATTGAAAAGACCTGCACTGTTGAGGCCCTTACATACCCCACAAGAACAGAGAAAAAGTTTTGTTTTCTCCCAAAACACAACGACATTACCCTGTTGTCGTAGTCCGACATTTTGGATCTCTTGCAACTTGTTTTTGACGCATCTGAGGCAGAATGAATGACCAGTCCGGTCAGGAGCTCGAAATGGGCGCGGTCACCAGCAGCTACAGCTGTTTGCTCGGTGACTGAGCACAACAATGAAAAAGTTCTGCTTGTTTCCCCAATTGCAGCTGTAACAAATGACTCAAGTCCTTTCTTTTGTCATGCTGGTTACAAGACTTCCTGTTCTGGTTCCAACGGGAGTCCGAAGAGCAGCTTTGTGCGCATCTGCACTATAAACACTAAGTCCACCAAAAAAGCTGGAAGAGCAGCAGAGAAAGAAAGAGAAGCATAGCTGGAATCCCTGGAGCCCACCAGGAATGCATCAAGGTGTTGTGCTGGGAACCCCTGGAATCCCTCAGCAGATAATATGGAGTCACCCTCTGAAAAAACAATTTAACAAGACTCTTTCTGTCAGCAACACAACTACTGGCTCCATCCGACATAAAACAATCAAACAAAAACACGTCAGTTGCTGACATTTGTACAATGATTCACGATTTCTGCTCTCCTGCTGAAGAGACGCATGCAAATAATATTTCTGCATAAACAAGAGAAGCTCTGCTCATCCCACTCCGTTTCTAATACAACAATGTTCTTCATAGGATCCTTCAGACTCATTTTCTTACTTGAGGCTCTTCTTTAATCCTGTATTTTCTGCTTCCCAAAACCATTTCAAGAACACCAAGTTTGTGGAGCTGAAAGCTCTTCGGGAGTCACTTTGCTTTTGTACAAACACCATTTGTCAAGCTGTGTTGTTCACATTCAATAAACTTCAAATTGGGAAGAAATGGTGTCTCTCTGGAACAGTCGGCTCGTGTTACAGACGACTTTACACTTATGTCCACGAGATTGACATCTGAAAACAAAGCGCTGCTAAAATCATTATATATATTTTTTGCTTTCTGTTTTGTGATTTATGCCATTTGTTACGCTTAAGACCTCTGTTATGTGAGGCAGATGAGCTCTAAGTCTTCAGAAGACATTAGCAAAGTTTGCTAGCATGCCAAACATTTCACAACCTTCAAATTACTACATGCCACTTCTTGTTTATAAGATGAGAACATCCTGACTAACTTTTTGACAGACATACTGACTGTTCTGACAGTGTTAATCTTTACTTCCAGTATTTTAAAGCTCAGTTTCTCTGGAGTCTTTCACGAAACACAAAATGAGACATAAGATGGAAATGGTTTCACAAGAATCTTGTGGGGTTTTTTTCTTTCTTTTAAACACTTAGCATGACAGCTCTTACAACACATTGGCCGACTCTGCTTATTATTATGCAAATTATTAATCCATATTCATGTGCGTGGTATAGTGAACTGACCGTAAACGCCCCTTGATTCAGCTTTGGAGAATTCCCTTCAAACTCATCATGTAAAAATGTCAGACAGGAAGTTACTAACAAGGTTTTTTTTTTAATGGAAGCTGCAGCCTGAGTCATCAAACCGTACCCAGGCAGGTATTTACTCTCAAGGTAGTAAACAAGACAAAACATATAAAATGTGATGCGGTCCAAATCTATCTTTGTATCAATTCTCAGTTATAGAACGATACACTCAAATGACCAGCAGGTCATATTTTGCCAAACCTTGAACACAGAGTTGATGTCAGAAATCCGTCCTGTTCTGCACGCATGCAGCGATGGTAGAAAGAACAACTCAGATTTAACAAGAAATCAGTTTGGGCAGCCAGCTTGTGAGGTCAAAGGAGATGATAAGAGAAAAAAAGGAAGCAAAATACAATAATTAAATAGTAATTTTTAAGAGAAAAATGGAGAGTACAGAGAGTTAATGTAAGGGTGCGTTCACGCCAAACGAGTTTTGAGCATCAGGTGCGTCTGATTTACGGTCAAAGTGTATGTGGAGACGTGTCAGGAGTCGTTGCGGCACGTTTTGAGCGTCTTAACGCAACACAATTTGAAACGATTTGAACTTATGAAGCGTTCAACGAGTCCGACCCTCCACATAGACTTTGAATGTAAACCAGAATCACCTGATGCTCAAAACACTTTTGGTGCGAACGCATCATTAGACACTGTCACAAACAGAAACACAGAGTCAGGTATTCCTTACTTCAGTATCGTCTTTATCTAATAAAAACATCCAGCTCTATATATCAGCTGTACATACTTGTATGAAAAAGTTTCTTGAAGTTGCATGTCAATATAAACTTTTACTTTTCAAACCACTTACTTTCATATTTATAGTAAAAGAACAAACAAAAAAAGGTATGCTGTACATTTGTGTTTATAACTATTTGGCCACACAATTTACACAGGAGACAACTATATCCTGCCCCTAAAGGGAGAATATTAGTTATGAGTTATTTTTTAATTTTTTGCATAAAATTGCCAGGGTTTGTTCTAAAAACCACTGAGTACCTAAAAAATTAAAATGTTACAACTTGAGATGAAAAGCCACCGAACATTTGGTGCTGTGCGAAATCGGTATATTTTGAAACTGTTTTCACAATGTTCAACGAACTCCCAACTCAAAACTGGAGACACAGAGTGCAAGGGTTTTTATTTGTTTTGTACAACTTTCTACAGTATTACACTAAAAAGCACAATGAAAGGACACAGGACTATGAGTTAAACATTTTTTATAAGAGTTTGTATGAAAATCAACAAATATTTTTTTTGGGGAAACATTATTAATGTTCATAGATACATTCTTTTAAGGCCATTATGTAAGTGCTTAGGAAAAGCAGGTATTTATAGAATTCCAGCTGCTCAGGATTTAACATGCCTGGCATTTTTATTGGATACAAGTCGCTTACTTCAAGTAGAAATCCTTGCCACTTTACTACAGATGAGCATAGAAAACTTATGCTGCATCTTCATATGTGCTAAGAAGGCGTGTTATGTACGCCTTTCTTCGCCATCTGAACTTTAGCGTGGATGAGGTTTTTAGATGTTCTTCAACACAGAGAAATACTACAGCTCAACATGTCTTCTTCATTTTCCAAAGAGCAACATTATCCCAAAAAAATTTCAAAATATGTGAAAGGTCAATCTCACATGCCTTGCACCATATGAGTAATGAGCTGTGAGGAATGCTGTTACATCACACCAGTAAAATGCGTGCAGCTTTTGAAGGCAAAGTGAAACACCACGCAACAACAGGACCGCCTGAGCCATAAAACAAAACCTAGCTCTTAAAAATCTTCTGGTCCGGCTTAAAGGGATTGAGTTATCCCTTTAAGCCGGACCAGAAGATTTTTTCAGCTGAGGTTGTCTGCAGCAACTCTCAGCAACAGTTCTGTTGCCTGTGTCAATCAGATGACATACAGCAGTGAGTTTGTAGAAAAATTTAAAGTGGTTAAAAGCTAACCAATAGGCCAAGGTGAAGAGCTAACTGCTATGGTTCGGTGAAAAGCTAAGCTGACAAACTATAGTAGTTAAAGTGTTTCAGTGATATTATAAATGTCTTAAATGCTAAGAGATCTTTTTTATTCCCGGGTAACGTCACTTAACATAGTTAGCTTGGTTATTGAAGACAATACTGCTATCCTCACTGGTTTTCCAAATCTCTTCTGCAAAACCAGTAGAAATGTTGGTTTTAGGTATTTTCCCAGTTCCACTTACCTGGTAAGCTCTGACTTCCCTGGCAAAACGGATCACAATGTTGAGCGTTTGTTTGTTTTGTTTTTTTTTGTTTTTGAAACTTTGTTAAGTGACAGAAGAAAAGGTCAAAGTTTGAACTACTCTCGATACAATATTGAATTTTTCAGTCACTCGTCTAACATACACTGCACTAAACTTCAACTGCAGTTTAGTGCAGTTGAAGAGCAACTGCACTAAACTGGTTTAATTCCAGTTGAATTTATAGTTCACGTCTTTCATTTTTTCCTTGAACACGGCGTCAAAGTGCTGAGCCTCATCTGGCGTCAGCAAGTTCCTCCAGTCTCCGGCGACTCCTGAAATAAATCACAAAAGACGTGGAACCTTTTGGAATTTTTTTCTTTTTAAAGGAAAATGCTGAATTTATCTCATCGGTTATGGAAAGCAATTTGTGCACAAATGTGATATGACTAAGTCTCTTTGACTTTTATTTCTAAAGTTGCGTGCGTCTTTAATACACTTGAGTTGAGATGGAAATCATTTCAGTAACAAATAAAAATGAGATTATTCATGCGTCAAAATTCTACAATTCACATAGCTCTATTTTTTTAACCACATATATTTAGTATGCGTCATTTAATCAGGACAGAGATGGAACAGTTCAATGACAAATAAAGAATAAGATATCTAGTTTGAGCAAGACACAAACAGCAAAACCATCAAGACAGCCATAGTTGTTGTTTGTGAGCATAAAGTTTATCTTAAGACAAACTTTCTGGGAACAGTTTCCAGTTTGTAACGCCTGCTTTTTATATCAAAACATCTACTTATATATGCAAATCCTATTAAATCATTGGTCAAGTTCTCCAGATTGTCCTCCTCCATGTTTGAAGATAATAATTTTATCTCCTGTAACTGTGTTTCCAGAGAAACTTTTTGACTTCATTAATATTCGTTAAGCTCTCAATCAACAATCATGGAATGAATACTTGGGTAAAAATGAGACTTGCACAATTGCTGCACAACGAGACGATTCCTCTGACGACACCTTATGTTGGAAGGCTCAACATAAGGTTGGTTCTCTGATGTGCAGGAGCACATCAGAGAACCAATGTGGATTGGACCCATGGTAAGAATTACGTCAGTCTGAATGCTGCTAGACATATAGCTCTAGGAAACATAAGACCACTTAGAATTATCAGTTTCTCTGATTTTACTTTTAAAGGTATATGAGTAAAATGAACATTGATCCTACATTCTATAAACTACTGACAACAGGTCTCTGAAATTCCAAGCAAAAATTTAGTATTTGCAGAAAATGAGAAATAGTCAAAATAATGAAAAAGATGCAATGCTTTCAGACCTGAAATAATGCAAAGAAAACAAGTTGATATTCATTTAGAAAAACGATAGTGCTGTTTTAACTCAGGAGGAGTTCACAAATCAATATTTGGTGGAATAACCATGAGATTTTCAATGGGGTTCAGTGTAGTGGGATCTTCATTGTTTCCAGAGCTGTATAGTGTTAAAATTTACAGAATTAGTCACAAGCAGCCATTCATCAATTTGACAAAGTACTTTTAAATTTGTCTGTGGCGTGCTGGTTTGCTAGGTCTCCAAGCTGTTACTTGAAACCTTTTCTTTTGATTTTAACCTCCTTTCTGGATGAATCACCAGTTAAATCTATATGTTATAAACTCACCCAGAGCATTTATTAATACTTTAGTTGTGGGAATTCATCATGTCATACAATATATCAAAACAATGTCACCACTCCTGTTACTTTTGACAGCTTTTTCAGCTGACTTGAGATTCTTAGCTTTGAAGGGCATTTTAAAATTAGGAGTATTTACAAATTCACTGTACTAAATAATCCAAACCAGTTTTAACTGGTATGAAAACCAGGAATCTAAAACTGATTCCCGTTCCACCACTAGGGGGCTGTGCTAATTACAAAAACTCACCTTTGCGAAGGAACTGACTCTTTGTTTGGTCCATGAATTCCTGGGGCACCACCGAATAGTTGGACATAGGGTTATTCTTCATGTTTTTGAATAAACACTTGTCGGCTATCTTCTCCAGAACTTCGGGCTCCAAAGGCTTCCCCAGGAACTGAGCGATCCTGCTCACAGAGTCGCTCAGGTCCTGCTGCACAGGAAGGCACAACGCAGCTCCATTTTAGATATCGGTTCATGTTCACAGATAGTTTCATGGCAAGACTCGCTATTCCCCACTATTCAAAAACCAGAAACAACAACAAAAGAAAAAGTGCTCTGCTGTCACCTTTGCCATCTCCTCGTAGGAGATGTACATGATCTGCAGTTTCTCTTTCGCAGTCAGCCAGCCTTTCACATGGTCAAACCAGGAGCCAAAAATAACTGGAGAAAAAATAACAGATTCTCACATTATTTTTCAGTTTTGAAACACAGACTTATACTCTGTAACATTTTAACAGTGCATGCAGCATGAAGCTCCATAGAGACAGTGACCTTTTCCCGTGAGGAACTTCTGGAGGAACTCGCTCTGCGGACCCGGTTTCACCAAGAACGAGGTGCTGTTGTAGTAGTGGAAGGCAGATGTGAACACATCTTTGGGGTTCCTCATGACGTAAACCACCTGCAGTGATGGTACAACAGTCAGTGTGGAAACTTGGCAGAAAATGTATTCCAACCTGTTTTATGTAATCTCTGTGTGTTATTTACAATGTGTCTCCAAAGTACAGAGTATAGAGTTTTTTAGCAAAACCCTCTGGTTTGTAGATTTATTTGTTTGTCATTTCAAAATCACAAAATTAGACATTTCTTCTAACCCAAAATGTTCAAAAGTGAAATTTCCTCACATTTTTTATCAATTATTTTACCATGCAAAAACTGGAATAAGATGGCTTAAATTATTTTAAAAATTCATGGAGTACAGAAACAGATCATACAATTCTGAATTTTTGTATTTCTCAATGAGTTGTAAAAAATTTTTTGATCGTTTTCTTCAAAAAGATGCAATCCAAATATTTAAATAATTAAAAAATTTGAATCATACTGAAAGTAGTGATGCACCGATTCGATATTAGTATCTGTATCAGTTCCAATATCGAGAAACATCCTAGATTGGTTATCGTAACAATGCCCCCATAAGGGCAACTCTATTCAGTCTAAGTCTATGTTTTGTGCTCTGAGCGACATCATACTTTTATTATTTATTTCATTTAGCATTTCTAATCGATCGAAGCTTCTGTACCATTTGAAACGTTTATTGCGGTTTATTTTTACATGTTTGAGCTATGTCAAGAGCTAACAGATTTTGTAATTCAGTACATTTATGTTTGTTTAAAAAAAGGAAATGTTTTAAGTCAACTGGAGCACTGTTTTTGTTATTAACCGATGCTAAAGATGGGAAAAAATAAGTTTTCAATAACACCCAGAGAGGACTTTATTAGCTTACTAAAGTAGTAGCAGAGCAGTGATCCCAACCACAGACTCAGTGGCAGGTTTACCTTTGGTTTTACTTGAAAGAAGGACGGCGGCATCATGTCATAGTGGAAGTGCGTGGTGAACAAGCGAGGAGATGGCCGCTCTTCAAGCTTCAGTATGGAGGCCCGGGTCTCCTCCAGCCAGGGAACGCGGTCCCAGTTAGGCAGTGTCTCAACGGAGGCTGGATCCCCTCCACTTACGATCAGGGGAAGAATTTCCTGCATCCAAGTTGTCCCTACACAAAGAAAACAAGGTAGCAGCCTTTTTTTAATCTCATTACTATTAGCAAATATTTAAACCCAGGACAACTGTGCTGAATATCACCATGTTTCACATAGTTTTTATTAAAGAACGCTGAGAAAATCCACCAAACTGGATGGATAACTTGAATTAAAGGAAGAAGATTCCCCTTTCAGCTTTTCTTTCGTTAGATTTGTAGATTATGACAAACTGATTCATTTCAATTGGATTCTAATCCTGATCCAAACTCTTTTCCTTTTTCTTTCCAAAAATTAGGATCAACACAGCTCATTTAAAATTTATCCTGTAGCTTTTAAATTATAATCGCTGTGAAATGTTTTGAGATTAATGTTAACATGGCCAAGCTTTCACATGCAACAACAATGGAAACACAGCCTCGGAGCTAGCCGATGTAGATCAAAGTTAACGGAAAATGCTACTGCTTTTTTTCTCCATGGTTTCAAGTTTTGCGTCTGAAGCTTTGCATTATTTGCATTTTACTGTTTAAAAAGGAAAAAAAAAAACTATGTCACAGCCACAATTCAAAAGTGTATTTCCCCCATACCTCCTCTGCAGTTGGTGCATTGCTGCTGCATCGTTACACCACCACCCTGCAGGCCTGCCACTGCAGCGTTTGACTTGTTTTTAGAGATTTTGCAAGGATTTATCCACAAAGGCCGCCTTTCAAAAACAAGAAGTGAAAATATAGTTTTCTAAAAATGTTTAATCAATCAATCAATCAAATTTTATTTGTATAGCACATTTCAGCTACAAGGCATTTCAAAGTGCTTTACATCATAAACACAAAGGCATGCAACATAGAATAAAATACCAAGTTTTTTTTTTTTTTTTTCCTTCTTCCCCTCTTTCTTCCCTTTCTTCCCCCTTCCCTTTGACACGGAATTTAAGCGCCTGTTACCGCCGGACTCCGCCGTCCGTTTAACCACGGGTATTCGCCGGGCCCGGTTGCCCGGCAAATATGTTAAAAACATCCTAATTTACATAAACTGTGTCATGATATAAATATGAATAGTATACTTTAATATGAATCTAGAACTTTGGAGAGCGGGCCTTAGAAAATCCACTTCAGAACCACTGGAACTGGAACGCATCAAAATTCTAAGTTATTAAGCAAAACGTTAATTAGGCAACCTAAATTAGATATGATCAATATACATCAAGACTGAAATGTCCAGCAGATGTCCATGAATACTGTAGCTACCAGTAGTCTTTTTTCCACAATACGACTATATTGTGGAGAACAGATGGGCACACAAGAAGATTGCTATGCCTAATATATCCTGCTTTATGGAAGGTATATCATTTGAGGCATGAAGATAATGTATCAAAACAATTCTGCTAATGTTGCATACAGCTGTGTCCCAGCTAATGGAGGTGCTAGCTTTAGCTCTTTTCACTTCATAGTCCTCTGACATGGCTGCAAAGACAATTAGCCTCAGCTTTTGTACAAGTCCTGCAACAATGGGTGCTTACATACAGTAAATGAAGAAAGAAGGGCCTTGTCCAGCCAGTTTGTGACTGAAGCATGGTTTTTACTATAATGGCATGCGACTTGTGTCCTACTACTTCCACCATTACAACACACGCAAACTTGTTTACCTTCAAGGTGCAACGAAAGCAGGTTAACCTCAACCCCTGCTTTCTATTCAGGACTTTACTCAGCATAGATTGTTTACCGGTATCATGGGACGCCACATTTGAAAGTAATGTTTCAAAACCACTAAAACGTCCTGTCATGCAATATCTGCTCTTAAAGGTTCTTTTAATAAAATGCCTGACAAAGAACATGATGAACCAGTTTTGTTAGCTGTATAGAGTCATCTAGCATGTTTATCTCTCAGTAGCTGCATTTCCACTGACCGTACAACAGCGCAACTTGACATTTCGAAAATAAAATTGTTTCACGGAAACACAGCAATTTGGCTTTTTGATTCAAGAAGAGGAGGACGTTCTTTTGCCATATTAAAATGTGTTTATTTCTCATAACCGCAACGGAAACACATTTTTCGTACGACACAAGTTACATCATCAAACAACCGGATGTTGTCACTGACACAAACCACAATGAAGAAGACGACAGGAAGTAGTTGGAGGATGATGGCAGTTTAAATAAAATTTAAATGGCTTATCGCACATACAAACGTATTCACGTGTCATTTTAATTGTGTCTCTTTTTTAATAGAAACACCGCAATTGCGACACTGGTGTTTTTTCAACATTAGCGGAATGGAAATGCAGCTGTGGACGTAGTTGCATGGCGGAAATTACGTCATTTTGTTTCATTTGGATTCACAGGGAATCCTGAACCTCCTCTGATTCACAGAGAGCTCTGTGCGAAGTGTTGTGTGATTGGTTGGAAGTTTGTGGCAGTGTTTTATGCAGAAATGTCCTCCAACAGCAAGGTTCATATTCTGTTTCAACTAATCTGCTTCCACTATCTGGCTTTTGTATACGCAGGTGACGACGTAGACTCCTTTGACGAACGTTTCTCTGACATACATTTGTATGATTCTTTTATGAATAACTATAACATTATTAAAAGGCAAACATCCCACAATCCTGTGTCCACCAGATAAACTGTTAGACTTCAGAACCTTGTTCCAGGTTGTAAGAACACATACATTGTGTGGAAACCAAACTAGCACTCAAAGATGAAGCTACAGTTAGCAAGCAATGAAACAAAAGAATAATCGTAAATTATTTTGAAATGCTATCACATTTTTTTCAAGGTTACACACCATAATGTAACTTTACACCAATGCTACTGTTTTTCACAACTTCCCCATAAAAGGTAAGATATTACTTTATCAAATAATTTTCATGGTTGAATTTTGTTTTAAATTAGAAATTTTAGGGCTCCTGAGGAGTTCAGCAACGGTTGCTTGTCTGAGAAATAAATCTATGGATTTTATGAAATGGTTCGCCATGTGAATGGATGTTACTGTTTAGAAGACACCTAATCTCGTTGGAGTTTATGGCAATGAAGATTACTGGGTTTCTTTTTTAAGCAAATGAATAATCTCAGGACTGAGCACACCTTTAGCTTTACAAAGAACCAATATCTGGTTGCATACTGTGAGCTCTTACATGGGGAGACAAAAAGAGTAGAGAAAAAGGAGAGGGAAGGCTGAACAGAGTATTGAAAGAAACAGATTAAGCTCTCAAAGAGCCCCGTTATACTGTCCTGTCCCTAAAAGCTAAGAAAACCCAAAAGAATAACTGTACTGTATAACGGCTGTGAAAGAAGAAAACTTCTGTCCTCTGGAATCATGATAGTTTCTGCTTACGAAACTGGAACTTGAATAATAAACAGACAAAGTTTACAGCTGCCAGCTGTAATCAGTGAAATGGTATTCAAGATAAATGATGACAGAAGCACTGAATAAATGAAATAGAAACTCATCCAAATGGATGAGTTCTATTGATTTCTATTGAGTTCTTATAAGCCTGGTGGGCCACCAGGCTTCACTAGTGCCCCACAGCATTGCTTATTTTTTTAATTTTTTAAAATGTTTTTTTAAAGCATTTTTAAGACTTTATAGTTCGTTTTCAGGTATTAATATTCCAATTTTTTAACACCACATAATTATCAAGTGATATTTTCAAATTTCCTTCCAACTTTATACATTTTTTAACTAGAAAACATGACTGGCTGCTGGATGAATGACTGCCCTAGCACCCAACCAGAATGGCAATACGTGGAAGTGCCAATAATCTCAAAAAGCAAGAACAGATGCCGAGCAAAGCCATTGGCATCTATTGCTTTTGAGAGGCTTGCAAAGTCATTTCTACGGCTTTGGGACTCAAGCAAGGGAGAAATTTTCTTTCTTCCTTCGGGAGAAACTTCTTTTTTTTTTGTTCTCTTGCACAAAAAAAACCATTACTTTAAGAACAGACACACTTGGGTAATGAGGAAGGATTTTCGACTCAGAAAGAAACCAATAAGTCCACATTAGAATAGCTCAAATACACAGCAAACAAACAAACCCCACATTAATTAACAAATCTTGGTCTGACCAAGTCAAAACCTGGACCTAAATCCAACTGAGGTTGATGTGCATGTTGTAAAAATCAAATTAGGTCAAATTAAAACAATTCTGGCCAAAAACTCTAGTATAGTGATGTGCAACACTCAGAATTACATTTCATATTTAATTAGGTTACCTTTAAATTATGTTAAAATGTATTTGATGGTCATTCAGAGTCATCTCCATGTGAAAAGACAATTATTTGTGTGTGTGTGTTTATGTGTGCTCTTGTTTTTGATACAGTTTAAGGACCTTTTTTTCTAACAGATACTAACTGCTCTTTATGAGGACGAGGAGTTTTTAGGTCAGTTTGAATTGAGTTTAGGTTGAGTTGAGGGCTACACAACTTAACCTGGTGATGTCTATGTTTAGGGTAAGGGTCGATGTTAGGCTATATTAATGAAAGATGAACGAAAGCAAGGGTGTAACTGTGTGTTGCAAGAGGAGCTGGGGGGATGAGAGGGGAGCGCTGGCGCACCCACGTCATAGGAAGTTACGCCTATGAATGAAAGTCAATGCAAAGTCCCTATAAATATAGACTGTTGTGTGTGTGTGTAGAAAAGATACAGTTTATGTTTCAACACGTTGTAAATGTCCTGTCATTTGGCACACCGTGACCTTGTGCCTTTAAGGAACTCTTCATCTCTGATGGTGACGGTAGAACTACAATGAAACGCTCCCTCAGGAAAACCCTGAAAACCCTGAGGGAGCGTTTCTCGAGTGGAAAGTCAAATTCTTGGTCAGTTTTGTATAAATTATCGAAACACCTCACTATTTACGCGTTTATCTTGCAGTCTGATTAAAAATATATTTTTTTAAGCCTTTAAATAGTTTAAATACCCTCTCTTCTATTTACGACACTCACCTGACTTGGGGTACGTTGCGATGACAACGTCGTCAGGACGAAACGTAAACTCTTCGTAGTACTTGAGGCTCTCCGGTGTGTGCACCGCTTTAGGTACATAGACTCCCTTGTACAGAGTGTAGAGGTCCGCTTCGGTCATGGTTCCGCGCAGAGTGAACGGAGCCCAGTGTGTGCGGTTCGGGCAGCTCCGAGCTGAACACTGCTGCACTTTGTCTGAACTTTGCTGGTACTAATGAGGAGGTTGGGACTATAAACCCTTCCGGTCTCTCGGAAGAGGCGACGGCTTTATGTTATGTTTCTGAAACATAACACAAAGGTATGTGCTCACAGTTTTCAGTTCTCCATCTTTTAACCATATATGTGTGGAAATTAATTGTGGGTGCTTTGTATGTTTACAGTGCTTTGCAAAGGTTTTCACACCCTCTGAAGTGTTTCACGTTTCCTCTTACAAACACAACCCTGAATATGACTTTTGAGGCTTTTTGTGGAAGTCATAAACGGCCCAAGCCATAAGGGCTTGGGCCGGGATAGGGGATAGGGCATCCCATAAATGCTTTGAGTTTGATCACAAACCATTTATCTGACATTTTTGTATTTATTGAGAACACGAGTACTACTAAATTTGAATGTTTAAGCACAGATACATTTAAAAAGGCAGAACATTTTTTGGCTGCTTATTTTGTAAGGGTTCAAACAACTGGTTATTTTAGCCACAGTTCTCTGGATCAGTCTGGGTTTAGCATTTTTGACTGTGTGCGACTGTTTATTGTCTGTCTTGGCAACAAACTCTCAGAGTGTATATTCAGCCAACAAGATGACCTTCTTTGGTCAAATAGCTTTCACAGGCATGTTCAGAGAAGGATAAGTATACTCACAACTTAGTTCACTTCTGATGGACATTTTATTCTTAATTTTTAATACCAATTCTCTTCCTATTGGCAGTTTATTTCTAGGGTGCATTAAAATTGACAGCACCAGGCCTCTCACATCCCTAGTGAATGTCTCACATGGGACTGACCAATGTATGGATTCCAATAGACTGAGAGTCCATTTTATGGTCTCATCAAACCATAAAAGTTATTAATTCCAAAGTCCTATGGAGAGGCAGGTATCACAAGACCAGAAGAAAAATATGCTTGAAGAAAAACAGGGACAATGAAGACAATGATAACGTCATGAGACCCAAATGTGTGTTCAGAGGACAATGTAAGATGTGTTGTGAGAGTTGGGGGTAGTGAGGTTCTTTATCGATTGGGTCACGATTCCTCGCAATTTGGTTGTCGTGATACGGATGGCAGTTCATTGCACCAGCAACTTGAAGACGATCGCTAACAAATGACCAGAACACCTTCCCTGCTCTGTCCGCTTTAATCAAACTAGTTCGTTCGTCTAGAAAGTCAGATTCATTTGGGGAATTGTGAATGTGCAATTGAACTCTGACGTGGACCAAACATTAAACTCTGGTGTGCCTGCAAATCTAAGTCTCTGTTTGAATGCAAACAGACCACTCTAAAAATAGGAAGCTGACTAAAGAATAGAGCATTCTGGGTAAATACAACCATCCAGCACTGGACAGTCATTTGCCAGAGACAAAAGAAAAATCCTACAACTGCTAAATTCAGATGCCACTAGGTTGCAGGTGTCTCTGCAACCTTACCAAATTTCTTTGACCTAGCTTGCTGTGTTTATTAACAGGTACAGTAACACCCTGAGAAGGTGGGCTAGGTGTAGTGAAAACCTGAGTCTCGTCATTACTTCATGAAGATGATGTGATTCTGTTGACATCTTCGAGTCATGACCTTTGGCATTCACTGGAGCTCTTCGCTCCAGCGTGAGGAGTGAGAGTTAGCTCTCACTGACGTCTGAAGCCATTGTTCTCAACTGGGAAAAGACGCATTACTCTCTCTTGGACATACTTTTAAAAATTTTTATTAAACATTTTAATTTACAAGAATTAAAATCCCATTGAGATTAAAAACCTGGTCAAGAGGCAGCAACAAGTACAACACAAAAAGTTACACGGTAAAAAGAAAATAACAAGCTATCAAGAACAGATACATGTCACTGAATGATTTTAGTTTGGATGTAAAGACACTAAATGAGATCAATTCGGTCAATCTCAAAGTTCCTTGTGGTAAGTTACAGGAAACTGGAGCAGAGTGAACAAAAACTTATCATCTTCTTGCTCTTTTGAGATCTTCACCACTTCTGAGGTTTGTTTATTTCTAACAAATCAAAAGTCATATGAAATATGTGGATTGCAGCTGTCTGAATAACCGATTGAGAGTTTCAAATGAAAAGTTGTGTGGCCATTCTTGGACACAGCCACTAGATGGAGCAAAAGACCAGAGGAAGAGCCGCCCCTTTGCAGATAAGTGGGTGAAGGGGAATTGTTAAATAAAGGACATCATGCTGTCAACAGGATATTGTTGACTAGTGTGCAAGGAAACATACACACTAGCGACGGAGGTCCAAAGGTGAGGAAACTGCACCACTTCTTTGTCTTTGGCAGTCCAATTGACCTGCAAGAGATCTGTTGATTGTTCCAGATGAAGATGATCTTTGATTGTATAATCTCACACTGAGAAATGTGTGTGTGTGGGGGGGGGGGAGGGGGAATCCAGATTTGATTTGACTTATTCATAGGAGGAGAGAAAAATTTACATTAGAAAAAAATGGTTTTCTTAAAAGTTCGGTTTCTCTTCACTGTTTTGGAGTTTTGATTCGTGCTTTATATATTTCAGTCAACCAATTTCCAGAAACCTTTGATTAGTGATGCTCTGCTAAAGGTTCAATGGAGCTGCAGTTTCTGGCTCACAGAGCAGCCCTCCCCTACAACTCCTCCGCCCTGCTTCTTCAGACTAGCCAGCAGCAATTAGCAACCACTGAGTATCTGATGAGCTCATTATAGGAGGTACTTCTAAGTGCAATCCTGGTAAAAAAAAAAAAATTAATAGAAGAGCAAGGTTGTTAAGACTTTCTGAAGGCAGAAAGAAGACATTTTTAAAGAGACAGAAGCCTAATTTCAAGGCGTTAAATTACAAAGTCAAAATTCTTTTTCTTCATATTTGATATTTATTGCATTTTTATAACAACTGAAGGTAACATAGTCACCTGATTGTTCTGTAAAATGGCACTATGTGCCTAGCAGATCCATAACACTGCCCCTTTAAGGCTTTTCAGACATCTGTAAAAGGGTGCTGTGTTCTTGCCTGGAGTCAGTCTGAACAAATTTTCAAACTTTCGAAGCAAATTCTCCGCTACTTGAAACAAAATCCAGTATCACTCAAAGACAACAAAAATTATTACAGTAATTTTTCTAACTCATAAGCTGCTTATGAGCATCTGAAACCACAGTTCATCTTCATAGTCCATCGTGTTCAACAGGCTCTGGCAGTCTCGTGCAGAGCAGATTGTGGTTCAGTAGTCCCTCAGTAACTGCAGAGTCAGCATTCATTCTGTAAGGCTGCAGCCATGAAGTGCGATCTTGCCACCAGCAACCTCAGTCTGGCGCCTGATGACTGGATCAGCTCCTTTCCGCTAACAGAGGCAAAGAGGCAGAGAGCATGTACTGTAAATAAAAGCCGGTCGTCCAGATTGTAGCATGAAATATGGAGTGTTTTTGTTAAACTGGGTAATGTTCCGAACCTCTCGTAATCCAATCCGAGCAGACTGACTCCGTTGACAGCCAGGATCCTGTCTCCGGGCTCCAGCTTCTCACACTTGGCGGCGGGAGAGTCTGGCACGACTGCGCGGATAAAGACGCCCTTCACCTTCATGGACGTGTTCTGATCATGGAACATGATAGCAGGGAGTCAGGCACAACCAGGATTTCACACTTGAAGTTTTTTTTTATTTTTTAACCTGACTGTCAAATGTTTTAGCAGCAACACAGTTTGCAGGCATTTTTTTTTCTAAAAATGTAGCTTTTTAGCTGTATTTCAGCGCAGTTTTTTTTTTTTTGTCTCTACCACTAGACAGAAAATATTTACATTTAAATCCCACGATAGCTACATTTCCATCAACCAAAAAATTGTGCAACTTGAAATTACAAACACAGATTTGCTTAGCGGAAACGCGCCAATTTTGGAAAAACTCACCTTTTTCGATAATGTGTATCTTTTTGCTAGGTTGAAGTGGTTTTTCAGATACATTGAAATATATTTTTTGGTACAAGTTTTTGATATATTTCATTGTATTATCAAAACATTCCTGCTTTTCAAGATACAAAAAAATGCATCGCAAAAACTCAATATATTTTTCATATACCATCAAAAAACTCTTGTATTTCAATAAAATACATATATTTTTGCTAGCATAAGTGGTTTTTCAAATGTATCAAAATAAAAAATTTTATCTTTTTTTTTTTTACAAAACTGCAGTGGAAAAACTTTCGCATCACACAAGTCACGTGAGAAACAGCCGGATGTTACTACTACTGGCAGAAACTGCAAAGAAGATGACAGGAAGTGATCAGAGGATGATGATGATCTGTTTTTTTGTTTTCAACAATGTGCAGCTGGCTCCACCGGTGCTCTCACAGCGTCACATTGTTCATAAAAGGCTGTTAAAAAAGGTTGTCATTTGTTGAATCCATAATCCCAGGTGTAAGGGGTTTGTTGCTCCAACGCCTGAAAAAGACGTAGACGTCGCCTCTGATACCTCAGTTATGAACATATTTCATGTCACTGTTTACATCCATTGCTGCCGTGATTTATAATGACTTATCGTGCAAACAAAATATTCCCACGAAATTTTAGTTTTATCTGTTATTAAATGGAAACTGAAAAGTTTTGCTTTTTTGATAGAAGGTGGAACATTTTTTTGTTAAGAAAAAAAAAGTAAAACCGAGGTTTAAATGCTCCACGGACATGTATAATACAGCTTTGTTTTTGTTTTTTAACTTTACTGACCCTCGTATCCACCAGAGCGAGGCCGAGTCCCGTTTCGCCTCGCTCCAGCTCCAAACTGAAAACCTCATCGTTGCCCTCCACTTCCTCTTCCCCGGCCTCTTCTTCCTCCTCTTTTAGCTCCACAAGTCTTTTCCCGGTGCTGCGGTCCGATTGTAAATGGTCCGCATTCAGCGCGGCCAGGCACTCAGACACTAAGCCACCTGCGGAGAAGTTTGAGAGCATGTTCATTTCTGTGTATTAAAACAGAGCATGAATTAAAAAAAAATTATGAAAGTGTTACAGGACCTTCGCATTCCACTGTTTGGCTGTTAGGATTCATCAAGGTTCCTGTTTTAGGTCGGATGAGGAGGCCGGGGGGGTCCGGAGCAGACCGCTGCACCTCACTGGGTTCTGTCAGCTCCAGAGTTGTTAGTTTTTCAGCTACAATACGTGCAACGCCGGCGCTGAGCTCATCCCAGTTAAGACCCGATGGTGATGGAGGTAGAATCAGGTCATCCGGTGATGAATCACAGGCTTCTAAGCCGACATTTTGGAGGATGTCGTTGACCACTTGAGCAGTGTCCGTCTGAGCGGCACCAACCTACCGAACAGCTTGGTTTAGTATAATAATACAGTAAAGTTTCAGCTCGGCAGGAAACACTGGAGATCACAAATTCCTCTAAAATAACTTGAGAAATTGTTTGTTTTTTTTCGTTGTTTTTTTTTTTTTTGTATTGGAGTAACTTGTTGGCATTTTTTTGTTGTTTTGACATCTGGATCAATCAGTTTTAAAAGTCCGTATTTAAGTGGAATATGTTTTTTTTTAAATTTGATTAAAAAAAAGTTTTTCACAAATGATGTTTTTTTTTTTATTTTAGCAAAGATGTAGTGTTTTTTCAGCTGTTTGAAAATAGATTTTTTCACACATCTTCAATGGAAACACTTTTTTTTATATCACGAGTCACATGATCAACAGCCAGACTACTGGTGAAAATCAATATTTTGCCACCTGGTGCTTCTTGGCGTTGGCATCGTTCATCCGGGAATCAGACAGCAGGCCGATAAACTCCTTGAGCTTTTGCAGCTGTGTCCACAGAGCCGGGTCTCCAACTGGGCGTCTGAGCTGGAGCTGGTAACCTTCATCTGGAAGCTCCAGTGGATGGTGGGTGTCAAAACTCTCCAGGATATCAGCTTAGTAAAGATAAACTGCATTTAAGGACAATATTTAAGAACCACCCGGATTATTCCATAGAGGACTTTTCACCTGTCCTGTGGGCTGCCGCTCGATCCTGTACAGAGGGAGCCCACGTTTGGGCGCAGGGTGAGGCCGGGCTGTACAGGCTCAGCAGGTGGTGCAGCTGGGCCGGACTCAGGGCGGGGTAGTCGGAGCGCAAGGACACCCACGGCGTCTGCACGTGAATGACACGACAAGGACAAAAATGTTTCTACACTTCCAAGGGACTGCCTTAGTTGAGACCGTTTCATTCTCAAGACATAATGGACGATCGGACTTCAGCATAAAACACAGCTGCTTATTTTACTAATAAGGCAAAGATAACGGGATCCAACATGCCGAACCCAAGTGGGTGACGTCATGGAAAGGCATGGAAATTAGTTACAATACTGGCGAGGTATCAGTGTCTGGAAACCTTCAAGGTCCCATTGGACTGCTGCCTGAACTACGTTGCAAAAGGAGAAGCTTTCTCTGCTTTCTTTGTTTCAATCGTTATAGCAGTAAAAGACAAGGAAGGCAGTGGCCATTTAATGTAAAACCATGGCTTGACTGGATTAAAAGATCAAGAAGACACTAAACCTATGACCTAGCTTATATTTTTCTTTCAGCTGGAGAAAAAGAACATCTGCTTCAAACGAAACTAGAGCTAAAACTTTCCCTGCGAAAATTTGATCAAGAGCTCATCGTTTTTGGTACGTAAAACAACTTTGGTGCCAATAACAATCGGTTGTTGTTTTAGGACAGTTAAAGTAAATTAAGAGCCTAATCTATAAGAGGTAACCTAATCCCTTTTAACAGAACCTTGCTTCACAAATCTTGTGTGTGGGGATAATTTATTGTTTGTTTGTACCTGCAGTAAATTCTTTCTTGGTGTCGCCAGCAGGTTGATAGCTGACGAGAGAGTGTGTGTGTGCTCCAAGGCCAGTTCTCCAAGTCCAGCCGCGTGGGCCCAGTCCAGAACCAGGTCAAGATTGGCCCGCATTCGCACTCCTCTGGACCACTGGTAGAAGCCTGGTTCTGAGCCTGGGTGCACATGAAGAGAAAACTGGTCAGAGACATTTTGGTTAACCCAAAAAAAACCTAAATTAATCAGTCATGAAACCAACCAGTAAGGACCATACAGATGTACTTTAAGACACAGTTCTGTTTTCTGTGCATTTATACTGGTATTTTCTACTTGTTTTCTATGTGTTGAAACTGGTGTTTTCTATGCGTTAATGTTGGCGTATTCCATCTCCTGATGTTGGTGTTTTCTGTGTGTTAATGCTGGGTTCGTGTCTCTTGATGTTTTATGTGTTGATGTCAGAAATCAGTGTGCGTCTTTTTGCAGATACCTCTCTCCATGAGTGAGTTGAAAAGCGATGCATTTATGAAGTAGAAGAGGTAGCCAATGAGCTGAGCGGAAACCTCTGGGTGGACCTGATAGTCTAAAAGCAGCCTCCAGCTCTCGTTCAGAACCTCCACCACCTGACTGATCTCCCAGGGGACGTGCATCCCGCCGCCACCCAGGCCCCGGCCACAGTCTCCGGCACTCTCCCTGAAAGGATTGCAGTCCAGGAGACTCGGAAGGACTGTGTATAGGAACTGGTTGGACAGAAAAGAAAATTGACCCACTTATCCATGTAGCTCTGGAGACTGTTGACAATTCCTGTGGCTCAATTAGAGGCCGGAAAAGTTAACATTGCATGGTACATGGTACGATTGATGGGAGAAACTAAAACATGTAGCCCTCCCGGTCAAATTTCAGACCACCCATGCATAACTTAAGCATGGCAAAGTATGACACTAAAACATAGCTAATACATGTTTACTTTAGAGCAAGCCGCAGTCCCAGACATAAAGAAAAAAAGGGATTTCTAAGATTTTCACCTTTTCCTCCAAAAGTCTTTCCTGTTCCACAGAGTGAGGCTGAACAACCGCAGCTTTGTTCGGCCTAATTGTACGCAGACATCCCCCCTTTCCCTAAGATCTCACTCCTATGCCCACAAAGTATCTGAGGTTAGTGCCAGCCGTAGATCCACATTCCTGAATAGTTGAACGTTGCTTTGAATGTGGGCTACTTGGCATTGTGCTCCAAAGAGGGCTGCTGAGTGAAGAGCACTGAAGGAATCCAGTGCGAGCAGCTCCATTTACAGTTCCTGCGAGGTTCCCGCGGCGAGGCTGAGCTCAGCATTAACCGGGCCAGGCCGCGTGAAACACAATGGAAACGACAGAGCATTTCAATAAACAACCTCGGAAAGACACAGTGGCTTGGAAAATGTCGCTCAATGCAGACAAGCCAGAGGGGATTTATATTTTCAGCAGCACTGGTTTTGCAGATGACCACATGCACGCATTAGTTTGAAGGCAAATATAAAAAGACAACTCAAAGCATTGTCTGCATTCACTGTGACGGACAAATAAACACAGTCTGTCCACAGGTCTGCTTGGAGTGTCTTTTTAGTGATCAAAACGTCTCTTCAGCCGAAATATTTGCTCACCAGTGGCGCCTTTAGTGATGCACGCCAATGCAATTTTCCTTGTATTGAGGAAATAACCACAAAATATATCAGAGGAACAGATTCCAAACACTGTCAAACTTTGTTTTATTTTTTTTTTAAAACATTTGTTCTTTGCTCTTTTTGTCAAACGCCAACATTTTTTGTGACTTTCCTGAAGAGGTATCAAAATGAAAATTTGTGAAACTGACAGAAGTAAAATCAGATACAGTTATACCACAGAAAATAATTTATTTAGTTGAATGTGTTAAAATAAAATCACTCAAAACATCCCGTTTTGACATGACTTAAAGGAAACTTGGTTCTGAAGTTGAAATTGTCTCTAACACATTCCTGCCGTTTCTGAGACCTGCTAGTTCTCTTCTACTAACCTTTTAACAATGTTTTTATGAGTGTCGCACTGAGAAGTAGCTTGTATGATGAGCTTAGCAGATGCACAGTTTCACTGGGTGTCTGCCAATTGCTGCTGGCTAGTCTGAAGGAGCAGAGGGAGGAGTCTCAGGGAGCCCTGATCTGTGCTCCCTAGAGCACAGATCCCCTGAGCACATCCTCAGGATGGTGTGTTTGCAACCCCAAACACACCATCCTCTTCTCAGGGCACTGCGAAAAACACCCGGTCCACCCGAGTGTTTTTAACAGCTGAATGGTTGCCAGGGGAGATTAAAGGATTTGTCAAACATGCATAAAAAAGTCAAAGCAACACTTCAGGTATGTTTTTGATGACAGAATAAGATAATAGCATGACGTAAAGCTGAAAAAAAAGTCAATTTAACATGATACTGCCCTTTTAAAAATGTTGAAAGCCATGTCAGTCATTAGGTACTTGTAAAAAAATCCCAATTAAAATGTATTAATGTTTCTATGGTTCTAACTCAACAAAGTCAAAAGTTTAATGCAAGTGAATACTTGTAAATCCCTGTAATGGAATTTTTTTAATGTGCTTTTTTTTCTAGCCTTACATTTAGATTATTGATGGTTGGACTGACAAAAGCACATCTGGAAACCATTTGGTTCATCAAGCTGACTTCCTGAGAGAAAACAGTGGTGCGTACAGTATGGATGTAAGAGCAGGTAGTTAGATAACCACAGCCGCTGCTCTCAGCAAATATGTGCTGAGTCAAACTTTCAGGACCGTGTTTGTCGAGGAATTCCTATAGCTTTCTCTCCGAAGACGTAGCATTCTCACCGTCTTCCCGACATTACATGGGACCCGATGCATCAGGCACAGATCTGAGTTCCAGCTGGCACGACATGTGAGACCTTGACTCGGCTGCTGCTGACATTATGGCAAACCGCTAATGCTGTCTTTGATTTGGCTTCAGTCTCATCACCCAGGGCTCTTCAAATGCCGAGTCTGGTGCGACCAGGACCTTGGAATCGGCGTAATTTACGGCGGGCCCCAACCGATCGGACTCCGATTTGCCACGGGGGACGAGCGAACGAGCATTTGTGAAGGTCATTGTTTGAACTTAAATAGGCCAGTCTCTTCAATAGTAATTTTTGGACGGCATTTTCACCCACGCCTACGCAGCTCCACTGGAAACTTGTCTGAAACTTTCCTGGGCACACTTCCATGGGCGTGGTACTGCTGCAGTGTAAAAGGGCAGAACTGGATCCCGTTGGCTTCACATGCTCTTTTCTCTAAAGGCAAACTGACAGTTTGCCTGGTCGAGAAATATTGTCCATGATCAGTACAGGAAACTGAAATCCCTCCAATCGGGCACACCTTTCACCTAGCTTAGCTTAGCAAGCTCTGAGCCTGGGAAAACGGCTATCCTGGCTGCCTTTTGATAAATGTCTGGCTTTTTACACCGGCAGGATTGTTTTTATAGCAGATAGCTTCCTTTCATCCAGTAGGTGAGGGCTGGCCACAGTTCCTGATTTATTGGGCACATTTATTATTTCCCATAATCATAAAAGCATGTGGTGCTGAGCCTAAACCGCAGTTTGTCTCACAGACGTCCCATCTTGGTTCGATTAGGCATTTTTCTGGACATTGAAAGAAAATTTGGTGGAAAACAACATTAATTTCAAAAGCTTAAAAGCTGTGATCAACACTTGCAACCCCAAACACACCATCCTCTTTGAAAACGGCAGGGTTGACGTCCAGTCGGTTCAGATTAGCACCGAGGCTAGCTGGCTTCTTCAGAACAGCGGCGCCATCTCATACTTTTGGCTAGTGGGTAGTACGGCAGGTTTCAGTCATTTTCTGAACTGTTGCCTTCGCGTAATCTTTTCTATGAAGATAAACTGGCAGTTTGTGTTTATAAATATTATCCATGAGCTGTACAAGAAACTGAAGTCCCACTATGGAGGCTTACCTTTCACCTAGTTTAGCCTAGGAGGCGCTAAACCTGGGAAAAACGGCTAACCTGGCCGTCTTTATGTCTCTGGCTTTTTACCACCAGCAGGAGTGTGTTTATAGGCGATGGCTTCATCTCACCCAGCAAGTGAGGGTTGACCACAATTTCTGATTTAGGAAGCTTAATTTATTATTTCCTACAACCACAAAAGCAAGTAGTTCTGAGGCTAAACGGCGGGCTGTCTCGCAGGCGTCTCGTCTCAGTTTGGTACCAACAATTTCTGGGTCAGTGCCAGAAGGTTTGGTGGGAAACAGCACAAATTGTTACTTCAATTCTTGTTAAAATGGCAGGGTTGCATTCCCATCGGTTCAGATTAGGATTAAGGCTGGCTTGTAGTATTTAGCATGCTGCTTTTTTCGTCATCTGACCATATAACCTTCTGCAAAGTGCATATTTTTAAGGCTTTCTCATCTTACAGATGTATGGAGTGTGTGACTGATAGGTGTCCTCCTGCCTGAACTGTAGATTTCAAAATTTTGTTTTTTTTTACTAGATTAAAAAAAAACTCTATACCAGTAAAAACTCTATACCAGATTACCTCATGTAATTTCCACCCAATCTTTTCATTTGAGCTTTGCAATTCTTTTTTTCAGTGAGTCAGCTTAAGCTGTGAAATAGTTCACGCAGTATGAATGGCATCTATTCTCCAACATACACAAGCACCTAACACACACAGGCTTTTGGTGTGCTTCCTATCTGCTCTGCCACAATGCACCCAGTGTAGCTTTACAGTACAGTCACCCAGGACGTTAAAAGGCTGTAAAAGTGACTCACCAAAAGCCTTTATTCTCTACACGTCTGATTATATTAATGTCTCTGCAAACACATTTTTAAAAATGAGTGATAAAACAGTACGGCGCTACCAGAATCTGCAGTAGCACTGAATTAAGAAATGATGGTGGAGTCGGCTGTTACCTTGGTTATGTAGTAGACGCACTGCTGAAAGGCCAGCAAGATGACTTCCTCCAGGACGGCCGTCGTCTCCTCGCTGGCTGAACGAATGCAGGACAGGCGAATCTCCAACATCGCTGAAAAAGCACGGTGATGAGGATTTCCATATTTGAGTTTAACATACCAAACATTCGCTGACTGCGTCAGCAGTGCCACCGACCTAAGTTCTCCACTTCTTTGCCTTCAGCGTCGTCCCAGTCTCTGTCCTCCCTCTGCTCCTTCTCCTTACAGTTTCTCCACTCCAGAATAAGAGGCAGCTGATGTTGAATGAACTGCAGCAGCTCCAGGGTGTTGGCCATCCACACCACCAGGGGGCGCAGACCCGAAATTACATCACATAGGCTGCGTACTTTGTGTTCTTCCGGGCTTGAACCCTCACTGCAAGACAAAAACAAAACATCTGAAGTGTCTTTGATTAAACGACGGGAAGACAAGATACTGGAGATAAAAAGGTGAAGCTTACTCTTCAGGATAAACCGCCGCTAGCTTCGTGGTGCAATCCTGCATGAGGCAAAGAGATAATCTGCAGTGAGCATTTTTATGTCATGGTACATTTTAGTCAGATTTATTTCCTCCACTGGAACCAGTAACCGATGAAATAACTTTAAAATAGTTATTCTAATGCCTTGAGCTTCTCTGCCAATCCAGAGAAGAACAGCACAACTGCAAAGTTCCTGAGACATGGCTGTCCCCAAAATTGAAAGGCTTAACAAGCAGAACATCAGTCAGAGGAACAGCAGAGATTCACAGTACACTGACAGAACAGGTTTTATTTGTGTTTCCCCATGAATCTACAGAAAAGTGACAAGAAAGAAAAAGTCGGTGTTGAAAGAAAAGCCATAACAAATCCTGCTTGTAGTTTCCCTGAAGTCATGAGGTGGGCACAGCAAAAACGGGTGGTGGTCAAAGTGCTTGGCTTTGACCATCGCATCTGGTGGAAGAAAAAAAAAAATTAAATCACAACAAAAATTTTTTAAATGACTAAAAGTCAAAATGACAAGAAAAAAGTCAAAATGTTGTGCAAAAGTCAAAAGAGAAAAGTCAAAATTACGAGAAAAAGGGTCAAAATGACCAGAAAAAGTTCAAATGACAAGAAAAAAACATTGAAACATTGACGTGACAAGAATTCATAGATGATTTTTTAAAAAGTCAAAATGATGAGAAACCAATTGAGATGATAAAAAAAGTTAAAGTGACAAAAAAGTCAGAATGATTTGGAGAAGAATCAAAATGAGAAAAAAGCTGAAAGGAAAAATGTTAAATTACAAAAAAGGCAAAATAAAGAGGAAAAAGTACCCCAAATGTATCCCTATGCACCAATATGCATCAAATCTGCAATACCTATATTCAGCTGCTCACCCAGACGTGCATCATGTGACATGATGCAACCTCATGTGACCTGCCCTCTGTGGGACACGTCCTCAAGGATTTCGGCCAAGACTAATCCAGCAAGTAGGAACTCAAGAGTCGGCCGAATGATTCACAGTGAGACGATAATGACTGAGAAACAAGCTACAGTGCTGCAACTGCAGTTTTTCTGCTGCGTTTGCATCGATCACATCGCCGAGACACGGCGCATTTGATGACGACGAGATTGTTTAAAACCAGACGGAGCTTTTTGTTGTTTTTTTCTACAATCCGCCTCTTGGGAAAGATCCACATAACGTTGCCAAACGAGAATGCAGGCACTGTAGCCGTAGTCTGTGTGAAAATGTTGGGGGAAACCAATGCACATAAAAAAAACAATCAGCTTCACAAAGTTTATATGGTAGTAACAGCCAACCCAAACACGCTCTGAAATTTAACGCGTCTCACTCGGTTTCCGACCTCTTTAACCACAAACTCACCCACGTGGCTCTCTGGACTTCACTCGCGCTCAGCAGCAGGAGCCGCCGTAGGTCTGAAGTGTGAAGGTAAGCTGTTGCGTACTGGAGACACAGACTCAGCTGAAAGGAGACAGTCAGTGGGGCTCTGTCAGTGCTGCTGCTGCTGCTGCTGTTCATAGCAAAGATCTCTTTGACGACGCGCTCTTCATCCTCAACCCTATAGCTCAAAGTCAGGATGTGGCCTCTGGGTGACGTTAGAAAGGGAGGGCCTTTGTTGGGAGACCGCTTGCAGGAGGAACCTTGGAAGTCCGTGCAGTTTGGGATGCAGTTGATGCAGTGGACCATTGCTGTACTCTGGATGGTTGTCACCGCAGGAGGGCAGAGACACGTTATCCATGGAGCAGCAGATGACGACATCGGTTGAAGAGAGGCATCGCTTGCTTCCTGTAGTTGAGAAACAGAAAAGAAGTATGACGTCTCCTGAGTTGTTCTTCTTTTAGTTCTGCAGCAAACTACCGAATTCATTCACCTTCATCTCACCTTGTTCATTGAAGCTAGGGGATCCCTGAAAAGAAACAGGTAATGCTTTCCCAGTCCGATGACGTCACCGGAGCTCAGCCGTACGTCAGATTTCACGACTTCACCGTTCCTCGAGACGGCGGCGTCTTTGCAAGGCGAGAGCGTGATGGGGCTACCAGCGCCGTGGCGGTGGAGGGAGCAGTGGCTCGGAAGGATGTCATCAGCAAAGAGGAAGACGTCAACACTTGGCCTGTCTTCGCAATCATCGCATCGGCCGATAACAATGTGTGGTGCGGCTAGCAAGTAGATGATAAAGTCCTGAGAGGAGAGATGAACGGTCAGTTACAGAAGTTGTTTATTGGTATAAACAAGCAGGCAAATATGCTTACTTTGTGAAACTTGTGTTCAGCATCTCTGAATTACCACTTCTGAACATGGGGCTCTTGTACGTGTTTGCTTAGTGCTTCCAGCAATAGGAACCAAACTTTTGGTTCCTATAGTTTGGTTTTTGCACAGTTGAGGTGCAAATGTCTAGTTGCACCTCAACTGGACATTTATGGCCTTTTGGGGGAGGTAATACAGCCTCAAACGTGTTTGTCACAACCAGGGAGAGAAGTAAAACATGCAGGACGCCGGCCCTCGAGGACCGACTTTGGGCATCCCTGACCCAGAACGTCTAACTCTCTGCAGGTCTCACTGGCCTTAGTTAAGGTTGGAGTTCACAAGTCAACCATGGAGCTGTGCTATGGTCTTGGGCTGCTTTGCTGCTTCAGGACTCAGGCAGCTTGTGACTCCAGAAAATCCCGAAGCGTAACATCCAGCTATCAATTTGTGACTCCGGGTCACAAACTGGATTCTGCATTGGGACAATGATTCAAAGGACATCAGCAAGTCCATTTATAAATGGTAGAAAAAACATATTTTGGAGTGACCTTATCAAAGTTTATGCTTATGTCAGATATGATGTAACCGAATAAAAAAAAATTCATTTGCAAAGAAGAGCATGATGTAGAAAGTCTGACGTGGATTAGCACTGACTTATAACTAAGCGAATGGCTAAACTGGAAAACGTGTTTCAACCTTGAATAGGTTAAACTGCTTTTAACATAGAATGTGTCCTTAAATAAAGTGATAATGAGATAATTGTGTCACTCCTCGTGATCCTTTCACATTAAACCAGCCGAGCTGAAACTGGCAAACCAACTGCATAATCACGCTCCTCAGGAGTAGCTTACTGCACCGGGCTTTCTGGGAAACTGACGCAAAATTAAAATGTCCTTATTCTAGTTAATACATGAGTGTGCGTGTGAATGCCATGCGTGTCGGTCTTTGTGTGTAGTTTTGTGTGGAGCTGTGCTTATCCACAGTTAGAGAAGCCCGGGTAACCAGACAGGAAGCAGTGTCAGCATCGTCTCTTTCTGTTTCCTGATCCTGGTTCTGACTCTCAATTCTTTAGCTGACCTCTGCACAGCTGTTGCCTCTGTCACTGTCGCTTCACTCAACCAGCATAATTTGTCTCGTGATTCTCTAATAAATGGATATAAGTGCTTCTGTATTGAGCAAGGTTCACAAAAGTTGCTTTCCTGGAGTCAGACTTCCACTTAAAAACACTGACAAGCAGTGACTGGTTTTGCTTTGTGAAAATGACAGCTCCAGTTTGCCTGGCTGGCTTTGTCAAATGACAAAAAGTCGGAAAACACAAAATGACAAAGACGTCCTTTACGTCTGTTTCATTGAGGGGAAAAGTGTTAAACAAGTCAGCTTAACTTTAGATAGTAGCAGAAATTAGGACTTAAATTTAATTCGCTCTTTACCGTTTTTATTTAAAAGGTCATATTGGAAGCACTTTGCTGCCTTCCGGTGGCCAGATTGTGAACTACATCTTTTTGTAATTTTGTAATGCTGAGCTAGATTTAAATTATCGTCATTAATGGATTTTATGGACTCTCTTACGGTCTTTTGTTTCATTATTTCAATAAAAAAAAAAAACTAGACCCAAACACTTATTTAACTACTACTGTGCACATTTATTTCGCAATAATGTCACTAGTTTGAATTTACACTCTTTAAATGCGTTATATTCTCATTAATAATTCCTACCAAATTTGGTATTTGCAAGACAAAAATATATTTCACATATATTTACATGTATTTTTCTTTAAATAAATTCAGAAAGTCAGAAATTTAGTGGCACAAGACTCAAGATTTAGTCTTGGACTCGAAGTCTGAATCTTGATCCATGGGACAATCTTCACCTTGTGGAACCAAGGGGAAACAACCTGAAAAGCCTGAGAAGTTTGTTTATTATTGAGCAGATAAAATAAAATAATAAAAAAAAAATATATATATATATATATATATATATATATATATTATATATATATATATATATATATATATATATATATATATACTTTTTACAAGTTTTATTCAAAAATTTGTTGTGGCCTCTAGGTGCTTTGGTAATTTTGTCCCTCATTGATAAAAGTTGATAAAGATAATCAACACCTATGAAGGTGTTTCTTCTTACAGTGAATGTCTGATAGGAAAGTGAAGCAGTTCATAGAGTAGAAATATTAAAAGACGTTGAAGTAGAAATTGCCTTGCCAATTTTTAATATGCCATAGCTTTGTAATTCAGAACATTAGTTTCAAGCAGTAAGATTCCTAGTGCTGCACCACCTCCAGTCTCCATTTCCTGTGTAAATAATCATAGTCTTTCAAAAGTGTGAGGGATGCGAGTTGACAGGAACATCACATAATAGCTCTATGAATGTAGAGATCTTTACACAAGTTTCACAAAGTAAGCATATTTGTCTGCTTAATGTCATTAAGCTACAAAATTCAAGTGTATCATGTTCTGTTGCGTTTCTCTTAAGTGGCTTGTTTGGTCATTCCTGCCACTTCCTGGAATATTTTGACATCAGTCGTGATTGGTTCTGTTTCATCCAAGGAACAGTCTTATTGGATGAAAAGATCAGTGACTGACTGGCAGTTCGGTTTATTTACATACACTTTCATTTGTGAACACAGTTGCTTGTGTGTTAACAACTTCCTTTGCATGTGACAGACACGTGAAATTTGTCGCCTTTTTGGTTCTTTTGCTGTTCCGTACACGACGAGCTGAAAAGTCAAAGGGGAGTCCGACGCGTATTTAGCAACTGAGTAAACGCTCCACACCGCAAGATATTGTTTTGTTTACACAAATAAATGCACTCACATCAGTTTTCACTGCACTGAGCGTCTGGTGGCACAAAGACAGAAATGAGGTCTTGCAGCAAAACTCCATAAAACGTCAGGATTGTTAAAACACCCACATCCCCCATGAGTGTGACGCAGGGTTATAATAGTTTTAGGTTTTCCATTACAGTTCAGTTTAATTCAGTCAGTTTTAATGTTTTTAGAGTGTTAAGTAGCTCGTCATTTTTGCGAGTTGTAGTTGTTTTTTTTTCATATTTCTGAGGTGCAAAAGTCAAAAAGGGTCAAAGTAAAGCATTGTGATTACGTATGCGTAGATTGGTTAGTGAAGATTCAGCCACAGATGTGGTTTTCTGAAAATATATTTCGTTTTAGTTGAACAACCGAAAGACTCCAGTGTTTTCTCCCAACTTTTGCTGTCGTCATTTTACAGACTCGCATAAATGTTTGTATGTAAATAGTACGAAGCACCATAATTTGCAGACAGCTGATGGAAACTACTTGAGTGGGGGGCAAAAATATCAATTTCACATCTTTCTGAAAAGCTAATAAATAGATTCATGAACCCAAAAACTTTCTACTAATTTTAGTGTATTTTACTTTTATTGACACATGATGTACTTTCAGTTGGTTATAGTTTTTCTCGAATAATTACCGTTTGTATTTATTTCAGTTAATGACAATGTTTTCCTCAATATTTTTATTATTTTGTTGGTTTCAGGTAACTGCCTCGGGGTGACGGCCACACACCATTCCTCTCCCGCGTTGCTGAGCTGTGATTGGCCACGTACCTGCGTGAGGCTGCAGCCCTGCAGCAGCAGCAGGTACGGACAGTCGTGTGGAGGGTGAATGGAGTACTGTGTGGTGTTATCGTCGCTGCTCTCCGTCTCCTCCCTCTCCGACTCCTCTCCCTCTCGCTCGCCCCTCGGCCTCGGTGGACAGAGGTTCTCTGTCTTACACGCTGTCCCTCCGTCCCCCTCCGCGCTGCGAATGCCAATCAGTCGGGAGCCGTTTTCCAGGGAGTCCTGGCTGTGGAGCGAAGAGCGGCCGAGGCTCTCGCGAAGACCCTTGGCTCGCGCGTCGAGTTCCCCGCCGCTTTCGTCCCCGCCGTCCAGGAGATCCATCTCGCTTTTGCTCCTCCAGAGTTTCTGATTGCGACCCAGAGTCTTCTCCACAAGGGTGGAGGTGACCCTGGAGCGACTCTTCTGCAGCTTCCGGGCCTGGGCGTTGATACCTAATGTGGGCGGAAGGAAATCATTCTGAACCTGAACCTTTGGAGCCACATAAAGACAGTTACAAAGTCTGTCACCTGGAGAACATTTTAAGGATTAAAGAACATAACTAACGGAATATTGACCAACATATTTGAATTGTACCCATGACTCTAACAAATGACACTCAAAGGAAATTTTCTATTTTCTCAGTCGGTGACTGATTTTTTGTTTTGTTGTGCGTGTTTTTATGACTGTAATGTGCTGTATAAATAAACTTGATTGCCTGATTGAAAACCACGGGCGAACTGCACCGCATCACGAGGCCGTGGAGGCGAAAGGTCGATGGAATGCGGTGACAGAGCAACGCCCGTATTTTCCTGAGGCAAGGTGAGGCGTGTTGCTGCCAGAGTCAACAAGAAGAAGCCCCACTCAGGAAGCAGACCTCAGTGGAAACAGAGGCAGCGCTCATGGAAATGACAGAAAATGCAAAACAAAAAGAAAAGCTCAGGGAACCACAACCCTAACCCTAACCAATCCACACGCCGACACTGATGGAGTGCCGTACCACACGCGTGTGCCGTTCCTAAAAGCAAAACATAAAACCGGACGCACACTTAGATGTGAACACAGCTGTGTAAACTGGACTCAGGAGCCTCCGCTAGAAGTGACTGACACAAAAACATCAGTAAATCAACCCAGCATCTTTACGGTACCATCTGGAAACATCCTGGTGTTTTTCAGTCATGCCACACGATCCATGCTTATCTGTGGATCCAGTGTTTTTGCAATGTTTTTATTTGTTTTGTGTGTTTTTTTGGGTTGTTTCTAACGATAAAGAATTACACAGAGAGGGTGTGACGCTAGAGGGAAAAAAACCCGAACACGTCCATTAAATCGGCGTGCGCCTGCTAAACCCATTAGGTTGTTACTAAAAATTTATTGTCATGAAAGAATCAAATCCAGCCCTGAGTCTGAAATTCAAAAGAAAGAAAACAAGACTGCGAGCCTTTGGTTGGTTTTCTCAGGGAAACCCAAATGTTTCCCTGTGAGAACCGACTTCGGAGCCGGCAGAGCTTCGTTCCTGTCGCCTGGCGGAGTCAGGATGCTGTGAAGCCCCCAAAGGGCCCGGAGTTATTACCAGCAGTGACGGTGTCCCTCTCCTTCGACGTCATCTCCTCTATCGAACTTTTCCGCTGGATTTCGAAACGTCTCGCCAGGCCCTCCCTGGGTTTCCATAGTGACTGCAGGAGGAGAGGTTTCTCGTGGTCGCCCACGACCCTGAACCCCTCCGTCCTCCACCGGTGGCTGTCGATGGAGCCGATGGTGTCGCAGAGGACGTAGGACTCGGACTCCTCCTTCCTCAGGCCGTACCTGCATCAGACGGACGCGGTTGAAATCGCCACGCTCCTCCTCACAAGACGCAGGAATGAAAAATATCTTCACAGGATTTGATCAGAGAGCCTGAATAAATCTGAAGTGCGGTTTTTATTTTCTTTGTCACTTTCATAATCTTGTCCAGCTCAACATTTTTTGAATACTCTGATAAAGGAAATAAGAGTCACAAAACATTACCACTCATTTTCGTTTTCATGATTTACTAATCTATCGTCGTTTCCAACCACACTTTTTCCTTCCACTCAACTTTTTTTCTTTTTATTTTTACAATATTCAAACTTTCTGAGACACTGAATTTGGGTTTTTTTTCATTATCTGCAAGACATATTTATCAAATTAATGATAAAAGCTGGAAACACATTACTGTATGTGTAATAAGTCGATATAATATGTGAGTTTTCCTTGAAGTCAGTGGTGAAAATCCGATATTAATATCTGCAAGAAAACATTTTAGATCGGGTATCGGTGACAATGTGCCTGATTCGTAAGGGCAGATCTATTCAACCTACTGTGTCCTTTTGGACTTCGCTAAAGAACACCACCATCTTGTTTCAAGCATTTAGAAATTCTTACACTTGGACTACAAAACGATGAAAATATGTCTGCCTCCTATCTTTATTTTTCTCTCCTTTGGAGTGCACTGCTGAGCTTTTGTTACTACATACCAGTATCACCAGCATCAGAAAAGTACAAATCAGGGTATTTTTTAAATGATTGTGTTTTTGTGTTTCATCTCCTGATACCTGTTGTTGGACTGTGATTTTATCAGTTGTTTTGTTTTTTTTTTTTTTTATGACCACTGCTTATTTTTGTGCACCGCTTGCAAATCTGTATTTATCCTAATAATAAAAGCATTTTTATTTTTGTTTTTGCAGCAACATTTCCAGTGAAACAGCGGCTGCTGAACTTTCCTATCGCTCCACCGAGGGAAAGAGAGAGCAGCCGAAACGCCAGCTGTTAAATGTTACACAGATCAAATCAAAGAGCAGCTTTTATGAGCTTTTTCTGTATTCCCCCCCCACACACACACACACACACAACTGGAACCACACTGACACACTGTATAAGAAGTATCATCAACCAGTCATATCAAACCAGAGATGAAACATGTGAGCGTTAGTCTAGCATTTTTTTAAAAAAGTCCTAAATGTTGCTGCCACAGCACCAGCCTTTCTCTTTGGTACGGAGTCGCTCATCCGTCTCGCCTTTAGAGACTGAATCCGGCCGCCATTAATCATCCTGTTGTGCTTCTGAATGAAACCTAAGAATGACAGACAGAGGCGGCCTCAGAGTCTGGGCCATCGCTGGCTGTGTTTCACACAAGTCTGTGGTTTGGACTGGGCCGTTCAGAACTCCACTTCTTTGAGCGCGCGCACACACACACACACACACACACACACACACACACACACACACACACACACACACACACACCCACACACACACACACACACACACACACTGCCTGCTGTGTCCTTCAATTATTATAAACAGAGGAATCTGGTTAGACGGACCTTAGCTTTAATTCACTAGAACAAGCTGACCTTTAAGCAGCCTTGAAATTATGAGACTCTGTTTTCTTTCTTTTTTACATTTTTTCCCCGTATTGTTTAAGCTAAATTTAAGCTCCTTCTTAAATACATCGGTGTAAGTTGTTTTTTTTGCCAAGTTTACTCATTTTCATTTCGTAAATACGCATGGATGCAAATTTAGTTTTCATCTTAACCTTTTAATGATGCATTTGACCTTGTAATTTTCCAAGTTGAAGCATACAAACTGAATTAATGAAAAAAACCTATATATTGTATATAGAAGTCCCTGCTAAACGTTAGCCTGATTTGTCTTTGTTAGAACAGCCAACTGTGTCCAAGTTTCAGCTATTCAGCTGTTTAGTAAAATTAAAATGAGATCTTCCATTTTCACACCAGAACCACTTTCTGCACTGATCATTTTATGTGATGTTTAAGGAATCCTTGAATCCCCTGTGGCAACTATAAATGATCTATTTGCTATTGGGCTGTGCCCAAACGCTTGGTCTCCTGCGATTGGCAAACACCACTCTGTGACATGCTCCGTAAAAAAAACCCGTTTGTAAACAGCATTGTTGTATCAACTTCCTGAAGGCGGAGTTTCATAAAGAGCAGGAGCTTCTTAAAGAAACGGTGGCCCAATTTTAAGGCGTCAAGTCAAATTTCTTTTAAATTATGTTGGATATATGCAGTACTTTTATAACAACTGAAGGTAAAAATAGTTGATTGATAATGATATAAAATGGCACCAGTTTGGACAAAACACCAGAGTTAATTGGTTGCTCAACAATAATTGGAGACATTTTATAAATGGCATCTTCTGTCGAGTATTTATTACCCAATCAATGTATACGTAATTGAAATACATTACTTTGACCTGTTATAGTTCTGCACCTAAAAATGATCAAAATATGAAAAAACTGGAACTTCTTCTACAACATCTGACAAAAACAAAGCTAAACCTAAACATTTAACTAATAACAACTAATGAAAAACCAGTAAAGACGCTCTAAAAACTAATTAAAACAAACTGAATTAGACAAACAAAACGTCACAACGGAAAAAAAACAAAAAAATCTAAAGCATAATGAGAAACCCAAAACTATTACATCTGTGTTCAACCAGACCAGTAGCAGGTGATGTTTGCCCACAATTAGACCAACAGAACGGCTTACTGCTGAGCACAGATCATAAGACTGAGGAGAAATTCCTGCTCTCACTTTTATGTTCTTACAGCAGTTTATTTTTCTGAGTGCGTTTGGGCTTCACGCGGAGGGGAGCGTAACTCACCCTGAGGAGAAACACAGGCCCACCCTCCCGCATATGGCGACCCGGGTTCTCACCGATCCAGGGCCTCCTTGACAAGCTCCCCGGCGCTGGAGTGTGTGGTGGCCAGGACGCTCTTGTAGTGAGCCCCTTCACAGATCTCGTTCCCGAAGATCTTGAGGATCCCCGGGGCCGTGATGTGATTGGACAGCTCGGACGGGTCGTCCTCCGGCAGGACTTCCGCGGAGAACACTGTGGATGGAAGACCACATGGGAAAAAGGACATTTGTCACTGGGTCTGAGATGTGGCTTAAAAGAAAAAAAAAAGAGGCTGCTTGGTTATTTACCAGCGCTGAGGTCACTTTTGCTTGTATGCGGTGGATATGCAACAAAACCAGAGCGTGTAGAAAAAGGAGCTGATGTAAGACATGTAAAGTACTCCAGTTTTACAAAGTTTAGATGGATGGTTTTGTTTGGGTGAAGTAGAAGATTGAGATGTTCTGAACTCGGTTCTCTTTTCACATTTTTTTTTTTGGATGTTACCAAAGCGATTGTGTTTAATCCCTGCGTATCTGTTTCCACCACTACGCTTTGTGAAATAGTTCAAACTAAGTCAGGCCGAAAGGCGACTTGAATATCAATGTTTAAGTCTTCCCCATATCCTCTATTAGATTTACGTCCGTGTTTTGACTGGGCCACTCTAACACATTTAGGGTGGGCATTTATCGCATCGTTTATCATTTATCGTGATACATTTCTTATCATGATAAGAACTGTGGTTTATTGCTGCCGCATTAAATTCAAATGAAAGATGTTTAAACGTTTTGGTTATTCTCCCTTGCTGTGTAATTCATTAAACTTGGCTAACTATAGGTAACATTTTGAAAGAAAGCGTCCCGAATCCTCTTCTAACACTGACAATAAAATCATACGATTGAGCCCAGCGGAACTGGAAAACGTTTGTCAAATAAAATAAACCAAACATCACATACTTCTTTAAGTTTTGTATCTACAATGAACAACACCAATTTTCTGCAAAACAAAAGAAAAAATCTGAAATTTTCATGATTATTGTCATTGTTAGTATTATTATTTGGCTTGCGACTACTTTTGATTTTTGGCTCACGAGACAAAACGTTTAGATAGCTCGTAATTTAAGGGTATTGGGGTAAAGGTGGCTAAATACACTATATATTCCTCTCTTTGTCCAATAAGATCAAAGCACATCATGAATATCTTCCACAGTGGAAATATCGGCATCAGAGTCTCAGGGAGAAAATTAAACCAAAGTGACCTACTGCTGCCCTTCCTGACTTGGACGGACCGTGACGACCGGAGTCCCGCCGCCAGCGCCATGGAGCCCGAGGTCGGCACCGGGCTGCGGTGGAAGACGCCGGAGAGTCGGTTGGTTTGGCGACGGATGCGACTCTTGTTCGGCTCCCTGACGGCCACGCCCTCTGCCGACACGCAGGTGGAGGAACAACTGCCGGTGGAGACTCCCGACCTGGAGGAAGGAGCGGCAAGAGTTCAACAACTTCAGCAAAAGCAAACAAACAAAACAAAAAAAAAGCAACATTAAGAGAAGAACTGTGATAAAATGTCTCGTACGTTTCTCTACCCAGACCTGGTCTCCTTCAGCATGTCTGCCCTCAGCTCAACTGAAACAATGAGGTGTTGTTCGGACCTCACCAAGTCTCTAAGCTTCTTATAGTTCAAAGGTTCTCTGCAGGTTCCCCACAGTCCCCCCAGACTGGGATTTCACAGCTTCTAATTCTGATTCTCCCCCTGGAAAGCCTCTGGTTAGACACTTTAGTGAGTGATGGCTTGCTGTGAGTGTAAGCTGTAAAGGTGAACTACCTGGCAGGTAGAGGCTAGGATAGCTATGGGCTAAACAAAACATGCACTTGTTTTTCTTACATAGTGAGACTTTGGCCATTTTTGCACAATGAGATGTTTTAGGGCCTCTTGTCACTTCAAATCCAGATAAGCTGCTGTCGGCCATTGCACACAGTTGTAACAACAAACTGACCAAATGTGCTGGATGGCTCCACTTGGGTTGCTAGGCGACGGGTTGGCCTTTGCAGGGGTCCATCGATTGTGACTCAATGACCTGCAGGTTTTTGAAACGCCTCATTTTTCCAAACACAAAAATAACATTAACTTATTGCCCCCCAAGAAAATAAGCAGTTTGGTGGTTTTTAGGTCCTTGGCCTGTTTTTAGAAGCGGAAGAAACTCAAATAGAAGTACAAAAATGCGCAGAATGTAAATTTTGCATATTACGTCCCCTTTTATACGTCAAACATCTTTCTGGTCAAAAGTCAGATCTGAGCGAGATGCACTTGTTCAAAATTTAAATTTACAAATACAACAAATTTCAATTGCAATTGCTTCTGACCGTGGAAGGCCTTAATCATAAACATTTGACTTCTGAATGCCAGGTTATTATGATGTACAGAAATGAATAGCGCACACCTTAAGACTAATTCTTTGCTGATGCATCTTTTGATCAGTTTCAGCTTTAAAGGTGTTCGCATCCTTTAAAAGTGTTCGCATCTAAAAAAAAAAAAAAGAAAAAAGAAAGAAAGAAAATACCTTCAAATGTCTTAAAGTTTTATGTTTTGATGAAAAACAAACTTCCACTTTTGGGTTTTTGGCACAAAAACACAGGACAACACTGATATTTAAAATAACAAAAAACCAAACGCTTCTAAGGTAGTCAACCTATTATTTTTGTTCAGTTTCTTTGAAAGAAACATAAGTCTTTTACCACAATGTAAACATTGTAAAAGAAACGTAAAAGTTTTAAGTCCGATATGCATCAGATAGAGGATATCTACATCCGATATCCGATGCAGATATCCTCTGATATCTGCATCAGTTTCGGAAGTGAAAAACGTGGATCGGTGCATCCGACTTACACGGACGAGGACTAGTGGTCTGAAAGCGGAAGATGTTCAGAGATGCAGTTTGTGGCAACCAAAGCGAGTCCAGGCAGACGTTCAGCCCAACAAAAGAATGAATTTATGAGAGAAAAGTTAAAGCTCAGAAGGTAAATCTGTCAGACTTGCCTGTGAGGAGGTCGTGAACGAGAGGCTCACAATCTGACTGCTGGAGAGCAAAGTGGGCAGACATTGTCAAGCCAAGATAAGGAACAAGGTGAAACTGAATCCCATTAATGAACCAATGCATGTTCAGAAATAACGTCTACAAGCTATAGGAACGATTTTGTGCATAATCCAAGTTATGTCAGCAAATTCTTTCATGTCTCCACGCTGGGCTCCAGCTTTCATAGTCTCTTTCTCTGTGTTTAGTTGTTGCAAAGTAACGAATAAGCACGAAGAGGCTCTATTATTGCAACGTTGCATCGATTTAATCGAAGGTAACACACCGACTTTGATTCTTTTAGGAGCCCGAAGGAAAAAAAAAAAGAGGAGAAGTTTGCATCTTCCCTAACTCTCTCCAGCTGCTCTGGCAGGGACAGCTGCCCGCGCAGAGCGCTCCGAGTGGGTCATGTACTCACCGAGAGCCATCGCTGCTCTTCCGTCCCAGCCTCACGAACCGTCTCTTTGCGGGGGCTTTGGAGAAACTCGCAGTGGGTCTCGGAGGGACGGAGCGCAACTCCTCGGCAGAATCTCTCATCTCATTCATTCCCGTGCGGAAGATTCTTCTATTCCTTTCTCTCTCTCTTTTTTTTTTTTTTTTTTTTTGGTCTGGGTGATTCCTCCTCAGCTGAAACCCCCTGCAGATGTGGCTCTGCGACGCGGGACGCCGCGCTTCATTCGGGGGATGTTCCCTCCAGGAGAGCCGCGGCGCAGAGCCATCCAGCTGCTGCTGCTGCGGATCTGCAGATGTTTGCCCCGCCCTCAGCCAGCTGTTGGGGCTGGTCAGTACCGAGGGAACGACGACACCATCTTTCAAAGTAAAACATCCCATTGGTCAGCCTGCTTCTCATGTTGCTGTGTTCTTGCGCCCCGACAGCTCTCATGGGCAGGGGCCCAGGGCGGCATCAGAGAGGGGCAGCCTGCACGCTGCAAAAAATTATTCGTCGACATTCATTTCATGCATATGAGTCAACGTGAACGTGTCAGAGCGAATTGATGTAAACAATTTTTAAAAAGTAATAATTTCATTAAGCTACATAACAACATAAGCGACCCGCGATTTTTCAGCATACGGACAAAAGTCGCTTGGTTTACAGTAAACGGTTATCATAAAAAATCTAATCTGAATTGATATACATAAAAGCACATCATAAACTCAGGTGTGTCTTAAGACTGAGAAATATGTCACAATTACCTAGTAGTAGTGAAACCTAAAAACGATCAAAGAAAAGCATTTACAGTCAAAGCCCAGACATTGATCTTCTTAAACAAAGATGGAGGAGGAAGGTTTTCAGCTATTAATAACAGGAAAACTCACTTTTGTTTAAATCTTTTGTCTAATAAGTAAAATATGTTTGTTGTTGTTGTTGTTGTTAATCTAAAATCCCTTTCTTTTCCTGAAATCAATACAAAAAAAAAAGATTATGGATTATGTAAACAATTCTCTGAATGCGTCAGAATGTGTGACTTTTGTTAATTTTATTTTATTTTTATTTTGGTACAGAACAATATGAAAAATGATCAAATTAGGGCTGAAGTGCCATATTTTTAATTCTATAAAAGTGACCATTGTGGTCAAAGAGTGGCGTTTCCATTCAAGGTGAGGCACACTGCCCCCTGGTGGTCTGTCGTGTTATTCTTCCCTGCTGTTCAGTTGATACTCTTAACAAACTCCAGGGGTTGCTATACAATTTCTGAAGCATTATATCATTATTATTATTATATAGCCTATACATTTTAAAGTTTATCGTTTGTATTTGATATGTATTCATGAATTTTTTTGTCTTGTTTTCCTACACAGAAAACACTAACACTAACTAACCGTTAATTACCTTTTTTCATAGTGTAGTATTTCTGTCAATCGATTAAAAAAACGAATCAGATTAATCGCACTCTGGCGCCGCGATTAATCGCGATTAACCACCCAGCTCCACTTTTGGGAGCTTGAAATGTCAAAATGTCAAAGTTTTACCATCTCGTTTGCTCTTGAGTTTGGTCGGGGAAGTTTTCTGTTGCTTTTTGAGACTTTTAGCCTGATTTCTTTATTCCTCAGGTCGGGGCAGAGAGGCTCTTTGGAGGCGTGTGTGGTTGTTACCGCTGTGTGGCCGCTAGGTGGTGCACTCTCCTAAAGGAAACAGCGGTTCACTCTTGGGGGATATTTGATGACTGAACGCACAAAGAGGTTTTGTTTCACCCAGCTGGGTTTACATGTGGACCTGAAGGCAACACACGAGTCTCTGAAGTCTGATCAACTCTGGATGTGGATTCAGTGAGGAAAACGTTTACTGACAAAACTTCTTTGGCTTCGATTCTTGTGAAAGACTTTCTCTCCTGTCACATATTACGGCCTCCTGCACCCGATCAGAGTTAGTTATGAAATATGGTTTGAGATTAAAGGGATCTCAGATGGTCATAGTTCAGATTAGGTTTGCGCTCCAGCTTGAGGATTCTTCAGATTCCTTAAATACTGCAGTGGTGTCACAAGCTGCAGAGGGAGATATTTGAGGCTCTCCAATCACTCTTCACTGTTCTTTCAGATAGTGCCTTGCAAATTTTTTTTTAAAAATGTAAAAAAAATAGTCACGATCCTTCAGCTTTTTTATGTTTTGTCAGAGTAAAACCACAAACTAACAGATGAAAAATAGGGACAAGACAATTCATTTGGATTTTGTGTTGCAGGACGGCGCAAAGTAGTGGGCAGCAAAAGAAAAATTCTTATTTTTGTTTTATATTTTGTTCTGTTTCGTTTTACTGCAGTAAAACATAATGTACAAAACTAAAATATAAGAACTTATTTAAAACGTCCTTTTATGAAATAAGAGTTTTCGTCAATGAAAAACTGAAAAGTGTGGCATGCTTTCACATTCCATTGAAAATTTACTGAAAATTGCATATTTTTCAAAGGAAAATGGAGGGAACGTGGCTCTAGATCTACAAAGCAAAACAGAAATAATTAATCCACATCACACTTCAGATTTGTTTTGCCACATACTTTGAAAAACAAGCATCATTTCCACAAATATGCACTTAGTCATATGGGTATGTTGCATGTTTTGCGTTTATCTTTGCACCTGAATGGCGATGGCTGTTAGTGCTTCATGTTTCCTTGTGATCCAAATCAAACAGCAGCCTGTATGTTTGAGAAATCCCCCCTGGAAAGCACAGAGTTTAATGAGCTTATGGGGAGGAGAGGGCGGAGCCGCTCTGTCAGGGCCTAATTGCGTGTAACATGACACTGCTGCTACCTGTGACAGGCCAACCTCCAGGCTCCACCACGCTCAGGTAGCTTCCATTAGCAGCCTGCTAGCAAAACAGAAATCCTTCTGATTGGGGACAAAGAGGGTTCTCCCTGCAGGCCGAGGTTAAACGTCCTAATGAAGTGGGAGGAGAACAGACGGGCTTCGGGATTTGAAATCAGATCCCTCAGTGGAGAAGGAAAAGGGAAAATTCAGCAAACTTTCTCTTCTGGTCAACGGCAACAGAAAATCTGGCCGGTAGTGCATTTGGTCGGTGGAAAAAAATAACTGAAATCCTTACCCTAACCAGAGAGAAATGTTGTGAGCAGAGCCTATACTCAAGCTTGATTGACAGCTCTAAGACCCTCCACACGGCTCTGATTGGTGTGTTTCTGCAGATAGCAGTAGGACAACCGCGAGAAGACAGAAGAGTTGGATTTTTTTTCATAGGTTACTCGTCTCATACGTTCTCAACATTGTGACAGTTTTAACAAATATGTAAAAAAAAAAACCCACAACAAACAACAACAAAAAAGCCATTTTGTTGATGAAAGTCACATACTGCAGCTTTAAATGAAACTCTTCGCTTATCAAAAATTAATGCGGAACTAACTCACTTCAGCTTCAATGTATTTTGTGTTTTGGTCTGAGGAGATAAAGTGCCACTGCAGCTGAAAACCCAGGACTTGGCTCGGTATCTCCAGTTCAATGAGTTCAGCAGCTGCCTCTGCTGCCCTTCTCTGCGTCGGGTTCTCTGTCCCTTTAGTCAGACAAAGGATGACAGGACGTGTTCTTCACGCAGGACCGACGGCACTCTCTCAGCTGAGGGTCAGAATAATGCTTCGTAGAGAAAAAGCTGGGCGGATGATTCACCAAGGAGAGCGCCTGAGAATCAACGCTGGCAGAGTTGGTCAGGCTGCTTCCCTGGACTCACAGTCTAATTTTCAGTCACACAGAATGCAAATTTTGATCTCATGGCCTTTACAGCATCGTCAAAATGTTATTTGGGTGTTTAAGTTCAAATCAAATGTGGTCCTTTCACACTATTTTGTTTGATGTATCCACACGGTATCCATTCTTCCTCCTTACTATTAATGGATCCCAGGACTTTGTTCTCCAGAAAGTTGGGATATCGCATAAGGCCACTGAAGTACGTGTAGTATGTATGGTGCATCCGGTCAAAGTTTCACCATCCATCTACAACCGTTTGAGGGGCAAAACCTTGTCAGAAGAGTAGAAGAAGAAGAAAAAAATAGACATCAAGAAATCACATAAATAAATTCTACGTAATCGTTAGAGATAACAGAACACAAAGTTTAAATTATCGCCCGTTTGTGACTTTGAGCTCAAGATCTGTTTGGTGGTGGGAGGCTAAATAGTAGTGATATTATTTCAGTCTGATGTTTAAATTGATTCCATGATCTGAAACATCTCAGGATGACAAAATTAGAGCCACACTGCTGGCACAGAGAGCGATCCACTCGGCACTCACTATTTGTACTTGAGCCGTCGGCTCCCTTAAAAGCAGCGCTCGGATCAATGACTAGTTTCCTAGTCATTGATCCCTGTGTGACTCTGGTCTTTGCTTTGTGACCCAGTGTGGCTGATCGGAGCCAGTGATGCTCCGGGGCTGAGTGGTTCTGAGGCCGCTGCAGTCTGAGGCCAATCCTGGTCTGGCAGTTTCTCATCTCAAACAGGAAGACAAGACGTGTAGGGAAACAAAATGAGGCATAAATCTGCCCTTTAGGGTGTGTCGCGCAAATAATAAGTCAGCCATTCATGGAAGACTATAGGGCCGAAGACTATAGGGCCGATGCTTTCTGTGTTGACAGACAGTGGGGCTACAGTAAGCTTCTTGATGACTGTAATAAAATATACAATGCTTGTGCAATTTAGGAACTGGTACAACTAAAGTCACCATGTGTTTTTCCCATGCTGTTGCAAGCACTGACTATTTTTTTAATTTTAGTTTTTTATGATATACCAAAAAACCTTAGGCAGCCATGAAAAAGCAAACGAGCCCAATGGAAAGAGGTGTCTCAAATGTGTTACTCACACTCCGGACATGGTCTCCAACTTTTTACGAAAAAATGGTTAAAATAGTTAATTCATATATATATAATGTGTATATAACTTAATATAAGTTGCAAATTAACATGTAGGCTGTTAGGGCCATGACAAATATTTGTAGATGACATTTATAATAAAACTGGAGATAAATGTGTAAAAGTGCATTAAATTATTTCAGTCAAATAAAAATATAAAAATTTAGATCATTCTTTACCCCGTTCACTTGGGGTAAATAATAAAAACGTTATTCTGGTCTCGAGTCATGACTCAGCAATGAACCCAAAGTCCCAGCTCAGATCTGTGTTAGTAAGGCGAAGAGGGCGGAGCCTCTGCACAAAGGGGCGGAGCTTCGATACGAAGTGGGCGGAGCTTGGTAGTAAGCTGACGCCTTTCCCTTTTTCCAC